AAGAAAATATGTATGTTCTGCCGGAAAAGAGAAACCTCGCAGCCCAGGTTCCCACCGTTAAGTTTCCCACTTACTGCCATATGGCTTTGGGGCAATTTATTTTAAAAGCTGACTCCCCTTTTCTTAAAAGATGGAGATTATAGCAATGTATAACTTATATTCAGCTTAGTGCTGCCTCAGCTCATCTAAATTCTACATTTTGAGTTTTAGCTGGCTTTTAAATCATGTTATCCAGCCCAGGCATGGTGGCACTCGTCTAAAAACCCCAAAACTTATTATCCATTAAACATTATTTTATGTAGTTCTTTTCCCAAAACAGAAGGAAAAAGATTAGTTTAGGGGCCACAGGTCTCAAAAGTACTTTCATTGGATGACTTCTAGGAATACCATTCTTAGTACTGTAATAGATTCTGTACTTCAACATCTGTGGTACTGACCAGGACCTGAGACCACCAAAGCCTCAGTAATACTCACCTGTATGCCATACAAAAACGTTTTCTGTAAGCATTTTTTTTTTTTATCGGTACTGGGGATCGAACTCATGGCCGCCTGCTTGCAAGGCAGGTGCTTATGCCACTGTGCTAAATCCCCAGCACTTCTGTAAGCATTTTTTTTTCTTTTTTCTTTTTTGTCTTTTTCGTTTTTATCGGTACCAGGGATCGAACTCACGACTGCCTGCTTGCAAGGCAGGCACTTATGCTGCTGAGCTAAACCCCCAGCCCCCTGTAAGCATCTTGATGTTAAAAAATGGCTGAGGGGCTCTGGTTTAGAGAATTTCTGACTTCTTAGACTTTTCTATTTCATAGCTTGCGTTTGAGTCATTGGCTGTGATTGGAAATGCTCTAACCCTCCTGGAAGTGGGTCAGATTGCAATATGCAGGTAGGATTGCCTTTTAATCTTACTGGGGAAACCCTTCTCACAGCATTGTCAGTTTAATCTCATGATTAAAACAAAAAACAACTCCCACTGTATTTGGTTTTTCTCCAAGTTTTGGAGAGTCTGTGAAGCTGTTACACCCGTTCCATGAGCAGTTCAGTGATTACGCCGGTGCCCAGATTTTACGGCTCTGCAAATTTCAACAAAAGAAAACCAGAATTGCACAGGTATGCTGATGAAATGAAATTTTTTTCTCCACAGTTATTTATAAGCTGATGTTGGACAGTTTTTACAACACTCCCCTCCCCATAGTATTTAGGACCAAAAAAAATCGGTATGAATAGTTTTAAATACAGCTGTAATGGAACGTTCCTTAGCATTCTTTATAAACCAAGGTGTGACTTGCTTTTTCTCAATTCCTCAAAGATCATCTGACTTGATACCACTGGTTTTCTGGCTCCCGTTTTTTCAGTGGTTTGGAACATTTTGCAACCATAAACTCATCGCCCAGTACCCATCAGGTGGGTCAGGGCCTTTCCCTCTTCCATGTAGACTAGAGAAGAAATAACATGAGATAAAGCCAGTGCGTGAGCAGGGTGACAGAAGAGCAGGCGGTAATATTTTCTGCCTTCCTAGTTCCTGCTCTACCTTCTTTTGTAATCATTTTATGTTCTTGAGAAAAGACAGCTGTTGTTGTTTTGTTAGACAGCTATTTTGTTCATGGGTCTTCATACTTTATTCCCAGGGAAGTATTTCTTCTGTAACATACTGCAGAATACTAGGTCGCCTAGCTGGCAACACATGTCTGTGCTTGCATTCAAGGGCAAACGCTGTGCAATCCAAGAACCGTCCCTGCTTTCCTCCAGATGGATGACAGCGTAGCCTGTTACTTATTAATCCACGATACTTAGCAGGAAGCACTTCTGTCTCAGAAGTCATTTGTTTTTATAGCAATGGATAAAGCAGCTAGCCAGTTTTCTAATTATCTTTGTTGGTCCAGTTTCTAGAATCTGCAGCCAGTATGTTTGCAGCTGCTCAGCATTTCTCACAAAACATGAGTCCAGGTGAGCTGCATTTCTTTCTCTGTATCTGTCACAGTCATTTAAAGTACATGCTGCATAGGAAAAGACAGATGAAGGCATTACTCACTTATAATTCATTTAGGAATTTCTACTGAACCCATCTCTAAGGCTTTTATTCTTATGTGACAGATTGAGTTTGGAGTTGTGGATGAAAGAAACAAGGTTGTAGAATTCAATATAAAGACAATTTTGCAGAAGAACATGATTCAGAGATCAAATAAGCCAACCATAATTGATCTGCAATTTGAAACATACCATCCTCTTTCCAAAATTTCTCATTGCTGATTCTGTCATGCAGAAACAAATCATTCACACCTAAGTTGAGGCCACCTTCAAGCACTGTAATCTTTAGCTAGAGACATGTAGCCAAAAGTTTTAAAACACTTTATTCACTATTTTAGTTCCTTTCTATTTAAGTTGTTTAAATGAATCAGTATCAAGAAAAATTAGGTACAAAGAATTGACAAAAATCTAAAGAATTGCTGACTGTTCGTCCTTCTGTGGGCCTGTTCAACATTTGTCCACAGGCTTGACAGTCATAAATACCGTGTTTTAACGTATGTTAGTCTACAAGTGGAGCCCACCTTCATTTGGCATTGCCTGAAGCATTTCTGGGAAATTTTGCCATCTTAACAGAAGCTTATATGTTTTCTCTCTTTTCTAAATAGTGGACTTCATCAAAGGTCTCATTTGTTCATATCCAAAATTCATCATTCATAGATCTTAGTAGTACAGAAGAAACCTACACTAATTTGTCACAATGTAGTGGTTTTGAATTGTTACAAATGATTTTTATTTTATTCCCTTTTTTCCTCTCATGTCTAATATAATATAGAAACTGCACAACTTCTCCTGATAGTCTCTGATGGGCGAGGCCTTTTCCTCGAGGGCAAAGAAAGAGTCTTGGCAGCAGTTCAGGCTGCCCGGAATGCTAACATCTTTGTCATCTTTGTTGTTTTGGACAGTCCCAGTTCACGGGTGAGTGACTGTTAGAAGCCGCATTTTCTGGACTTAAAGGGATTCCCTTCAGCATGTTGTGAAATATAACTTAGGGCGCTTTATCATGTTGAGAAGCCCTAGTATTTGAGGTGTTCTGTCAGGTACTATTTGTGTAATATTCATAATCACTGAGATAGGGAATATGTTTCCACTTAACAGTAAGGGACAACAGTGCAGAAACAGAGGTAATACGTAGCAGAGTCAAGACTCGCAGGCTCCAGAATCTCTTCTGGGTCAGAGTTTCTTCTAAGTAGCAGGTATTATAGCCTGGTTTTTTTGTTTTGTTTTCTCATCCTTAGTTTTTTTTGTCTTGTACTAGGAATTGAACTCAGGACCTCATCCTTGCCAGGCAGGTACTGTGCCAACTGTGCCAGGCAGCTGTGTCCCTGGCCTTGATCATGGACCCTCACTGCTATTAAAGCCCAGCCTTGGAGCCAGGGGTTTGGCTCAGTGGCACAGCGCCTGCCTGGCAAGCACCAGGTCCATGAGTTTGAGCCCAGCCTGTCTCACCAGTCCTCAGAGTACAGCAGTTGTGTTTCTGAGGAGGCCCTTTCCCTGCAGGCGAGACAGATTTAGTGGGGATTATTCTTGTGGAGAAGAGACACCATTGGAGACAAGGCAGATTCCTGTTTATCCTTCTTCCTTGTTTTCATTCTCCTGAAACAGATGCTCAGAGAGCTCTGCCTCCATTCTTAATGTGTTCTGCAAATGAAGAGTAGGAACTAGTTTCACATGTAGAAATAAGATCTGGGGGGCTGGAGATTTAGCTCAGCGGCATAAGTGCCTGCCTTGCAAGCAGGCAGTCATGAGTTCGATCCCCAGTACTGATAAAAAGGAAAAAGGAAAAAAAAAATAAGATCTGGGGAAGAAACTCAGCAAAAGAGATCACAGAAAACAATCAATTTTTTCTTTTTCTTACAAATTGTCTTTTGATGACAGGATTCTATCTTGGACATTAAAGTACCAATATTCAAAGGACCTGGAGAGATGCCTGAAATCCGATCCTACATGGAAGAATTCCCATTCCCATTCTATATTATTCTTCGAGATGTGAATGCACTTCCTGAGACACTCAGCGACGCCCTCAGACAGTGGTTTGAGTTGGTGACAGCCTCTGACCACCCGTAGCACAGGAGGAGCAATCCAAAGGGAGACTATTTGAACCACCTTCAGAAAGTGGCACCTTACCAGGTGCTTCTACTCCTCTTTTGAACAACCACTTCTGAACTTGCCACTCAAATCATATTTTATCTTTATTTGCCAATATAGCTCAGAGAGTTCTTAGGCTCTGTGCTTTGCCTGGCTCCCTGTTTTGAAACTGGGGGCAGTGAAATCAAGGGAAATCCTAACTGGGGAGCCTGATGCCCTTTATAGGAACCCAGCCACCTGCAGTCCCCTTGCAGGGACTCTAAACACCCTTTGAGTGGGGAGAGAAGAGGGGATTGCACCCAGAGACCCATTAAGTTGCTCAAATTTGTGATTCTTCGAAGCAGCTGGGATTACAAGTGTGGCCTGCCACTCCCTATAGTTGGGCACCTCCCTGAAGGAAGCGTTACCAGAACGGGACTGGACCCCATCAGTACTTTGGACAAGGACACAAAGGGAGCAGCCCTTTTGATCCTCTTTAAGCTCTGCCATGTGGCTAAGATACCTAAGGTTTTCTGGAAGCCTGGTTTTGTATTTTTTTATTGTAAAATACTATTGTATGCTCTGCGAGGGCAGGGCACATGTTCTCATTTTTATCTAGACATTACAGGAGTCTAAGTAATCAACAAAGAAGCCTCGGGCTGTGTAACAGTGAAGTGGCCTTTCAGTGCCCTCCTTTGTTCGCATTTGCTGCTTCGGGAGACTATGCAATGACAGAAAACGGCTTTCCTTCCGTTTCTACTCTCGGTGTCATAGCCCAGTTATATAGATCTTTATTTCTTTAGTTCTCCTCCTCCTCGCCCCTTGATAGTTAAGGGGAAGAATCATTCCTCAGTGCTTTCAAGCTAGACTGAGCCAGGCTCATTCTGGAAAAGAAATGCTCTGTCCACAAGAACTAAGAACTCACATTTATTGTTATTTTTCTCCCAGTCAGGACACATCAGCAGTTTTAAGGCAGTTTTTACTTGGCCAGAAGCAGTGCTTGAATACTTGAAACTGTGCTGTGTTCTAGTTCATGTTCTGTCGAGTGTTCTTTGTAGGCTCTGTGCCGCCATGTACTCCTCTTTTTCCCCATGTCTGTTTTGAAGTTACACTGTGAAGTCTGCCACCCTTACACGGTGGCCATCACATACAGCTTGCTTGTTTGACCAAGTGTCCTAAAGCATGTACCTGAAGTTACTGTTATTTTTTATTCTAAAATTCTATGCAGTTTATATTCGCAAAAACTATTAAAAGATTTATACTCTACGATCATTTGTGATCATTCTTAATAAAATATGACAGGGATTGCGCTTGTGTACTTGATCAGCAGACCATTCAGTTTATGCAAGCTAATATGACTCAGCAACTTGAGTGGTTTAATACAGGAAAGCTTTCTCACTCATTCACGTCTGTGGTGGGTGAGCTGCACCATGTAGGCTTTGTGGTAGATGGAAACAGGTGAGTTGGGCAGCACTGCACGGAGGCTTAAAGCCATACTGGTCTCTATCCCATTTCATTGGCCCGTGCTGTCTCTGGCGCAGAAGATGTAGTCCTCCAGCAGGGTTAGGTCTGGTAAAGACAGACAGGAACACTAACAGTGATGTAATCTATTATCTTCATCTTTAATGGGCAGGTCTATTATATAAGGTGGGGCCTCCCAACTGGGGTGTCTAAAGTGATTCCCCGGTCTTTAGGGATTTGGGAAAAAATTCTGGTGAGCAGGGATCCAAGAATGCCACTTCCAACTTGTGACAGGAATAGCAGGAGCTGATGCTGAGTTCAGACATTTCAGGAATACTTTGTATGCTTTTGTAATAATCCCATTTTACACAACTGCAACTTCAACCGTCATCTAAGCAAAAAAGGCTTGCAAAAATCTACTCTAGCCAGGCTCTTGGTCTTTCACATTCCCAATTACAGTTGTTGGTTAGTGTTGGGCATTTTTATTGTGAAAGGATAACAAACTGTACCTGTGCACACTAAGACAGCTGTGATGTCACTTAGACAATAAAATCATATGGGGCCACCACCATAAACGTCTCTTGATCCAAATGTATGCCATATATATCTCTACTGTACATTCAGAGGGTGCTGGAGCTCAACTTGAGTACCCACCAGATTATGTTCAAAAGCGTCAGTTATTCTTCTGAACCCAACTTTTTTTCTTCTGCAGTATTCCCTGAATTGACTACTTCAACAGCTCTACGATTTATAGACTTAGAGCCAGTCTGTACATCTGCTTTGCATTGCTCTCTGTCTTCATTTATTACCGTCAGCCATCTTTCTCGTATAACCGCTGAGCCCTTGTCCTGTCATCTCTCCCTGCTCTGACTCCACTAGGGCAGGTGGGGCTCTTTTAATCTCTAGTCTGGACCACGTCGGTGATCTCAAACCAGTCATTTATCTTTGCTTGCTTCATCTCATCCTAATCACAACATCCATGGAGATCGTTATAAAACCTCTCAAGCTGAAAGCCCTCCAGAGCATTCTTCTATGAAGAGGGTACTATTCAAGTTCCTGCAACCTGTGCAGTTCCCTGCCTCACTCTCCTGGCCCTTTCTGTTGGCATCTCCACCACTCATCTGGTCACAGCAAAGCAGAGTTCCTACAGTCTGCCAGGATTCATGTTGTCTGGAATCCTCTTATCTACTTGGTCTTTCAGACAAACAATTCAAGACCTCCAGGATGAATGAGATTCTACAGTATGAACAGCACCATTTAGTGGCCAATTTCCTGCCCCAAATACCAGTGTTTGATAGTATATGCAGCTTGTGGCAGTATTGTGTCTAGCATGAGAAAATGTTTCTGGAGGGAAAGAAGAAAGCATAAAAATATCTGCTTATATATTAAACTATAGATTCGACATTAAAAATTATAATAAGAATCCTAAGATTTGGAGAAATATAAAATATTTCTAAAGGTCATATAGAATATTAAAACCTATAGAGTTCTGACTCTAAAAGAATTTACCATATGACCCCAAAAGTATCACAAAGACCAGGAAAAGAAATGAATTTTTTAGTTTATAGTGTTGAAACTATAGTTTAGAAGCCAGAAAAGTACTTAGACCCACATCATGCTATAAACTAAAATCTGGAAGCAGTATTTTCAGAATTAAACGGTAAAAGTTACATTGCTCTGAATGGGAAAAGATGAACCAGTAGTGTGTAGACTTAACGCTGTATATAGAAATAAACTACAAAAATAAAAAAAAACTACAGAGCATGAAGCCCATGTAAAACCTGACCAAAAGGCCTGATGCGTATACACAGACCTAAGTCATAGAGACACTCCACAAAATCAGCATACCTAAAAGTGGCTACTGGGGCCTCGGATATAGCTCAGCACCTGCCTGGCAAGTGTGAGCTTGTGAGTTCAATCCTTAGCACCAAAAATAAAAGTGGCTAGGGATAGACATTAAGCCTAACTAATACTTGAAAATTAAATTGGCCAAAAGTTGTCACCTGCTAAGACACAACTTGCAAAATACACCACTGACAATACCATACAATGCCTAGTAACAGAGCTAAGAATTGTGTGTTCTCACCTGTGTCAGGCACATTCTCAGTATGTTGACAACACGATGCAAACGTGAGTTGCTGTCACTTCACTTTGTACAGTGCTTCATAGATGAGGAAATAAGCTGCAGGAAGCAGCCTGAACACAGCCAGGCAAAGGGAGCATCAGGATTCCAGCAGGTGATGCTTTCAAGGGAGCGCTGTAATAGGTAGATGAACAGACGTTTCTGATTGTACTTGAAGTCTATAGCAAAGAGGCACCAGCCTCACTTCCAGATACATAACCCACAGGTGTATGTTGTGTGAATAAAACCAGTAGGAAGTCAAAGCTTACAGCTTGTTCAATTTCTCCTTATCAGTGATTTTTTAAAAAATTTTAAAACCACACTGGGGCGCACATTTAAAAGCCATGTTACAGATGATCAAGATGACCACCACCGGGCAAATGGTTGGGAAAAGAATGAGGAAAATGGGTGGGGGGGTGCAGGATGCAAATTTTTAAAGAAATTAAACAGCTTTAGTTCTTTCAAAGATACACATTGAAGAGACTCACGCCCCATGCTAAAACTGTGGCAAATATCTTACCATTCTTAGTGTTATCACAAAGACCTTAAGATGCACGAACTGTCACCCCAGTTTACTGGACTGCAGTCTAGGGCTTTCTGCACACCAGGCCAGCGCGCGCGGTGCGCAGCTCCACCGGAAGCCGAGCTCGGCCCCTCCCCCGTGCCGCCCCCCCACTTCCGCTCCTGCGCGCTCCAGCCGGGCCTGTGCGGTAGACATGGCCGCCTCCCGCTTACCTCCAGGCACGCTGACACTAAAGCAGGTACTGTAGCAGCAATTCCCAAAAGCACAGCTAAGAGCAGCACTCTGGGATCTGAGCTCTTCAAATCTCTGCCTCTCCCCAGATGCCTTTGGAGCCTGGGCAGGTCCTGGCCCTGAGCCTGTGATCAGCCGGCCATAGGGCCAGCGCTCCCCTCAGAGCCCGCGGAAGTGTGCGGGGCTTACTGTGGGCACCTAAGGCGGGCAGCCTCTTATTCTCGGAGCCTAGATGCCTCCTTTCCCCGATCATCCCGGTAAAGACTGCTCAGTGATAAAAAATAAAGAATGGAATAGCTGTGTTCATTTAGAAAAAACACTGTTACTGTTCCAGCTTTTAGAAGCCCTTTTTTCCCATTAGTGAGTCCTTTATTTTAAAGGTTCTCAGGTTTGACGGAAATAGCCAACCCCAAATGCACTTCCGGCTTTCTGTCGAAAGTGTTTCTGCGCCCTTTTTAGAATTGAAGACCAAAGAGAAGGTGCCTTGGTTACAGTTTGTTTTGCTAAAGTAGACCTGGAGTTTGTGTAGTTGTAAATGTCAGTTCTTGTTCCCTGTACAGTTCCTGAGGAGGCAACAAGTTCTCCTTCTTTATAGAAGGATTTTGCAAGCTATCAGGCAAGTTCCAAATGCATGTGATCGCAAATACCTGCAGAACTGGGCAAGGGAAGAATTCAAACGAAATAAAAGCGCCACGGAAGAGGTGAGAACAAAATAATGGTGAGCACAGTGATGGGTGTTTTTTTTTTTTTTTAATTTAGTAGACATCTTGGAATATAAATAAAATTGAGATGGCATAACTTTGAAGGAGGGGCGTAATTTAAGATTGAATCCCAGGACCTTTCAAAAGATATGCAAACACTAAATTCTCTGAGCCATAGCCCTAGCTTTTAGTTTAGTTTTTTGACATTAGAGCTCACTAAATGGCTAAGTTGTCCAGGTGGGTTCAAATCTGGGATCTTCCTGTCTCAGCCTCCTAGAGTACTAGGATTATAGGTGCCCACCCAGCTAAGGTGCTATCTTTTTTGTTTGTTTGTTTGGGTTTTTTTGTCTTCATTTTTTATCAGTACCAGCGATCGAATTCTGGACTGCCTGCTTGCAAGACAGGCGCTTATGCCACTGAGCTAAATCCCCAGCCCAAGGTGCTATCTTTTGATTACTACTTGTAATGGTACTTTACTTCTATTCAAATGACATTTTAAAGCTTTTAAGTCGTTGTATTTATACAGTAGCATCGCTTGGCTTTTATGCTGTACCGCATAGTTTTTAGCTTTTCTGATGTGTAGCAGTTCCACTTGAACTGTTGACTGTTATTGCTGGAGTGTGTTTGGTGCTAAAATTGAACCTAAAGCTCTGGGCATAGTAAGCCTAGCCTATTCCCTACCACTGAGCTATACCCACAGCCCACCACTATTGGTTCTTGAATTTTACATATAAAACAAATGTACCTTATTTAAGAGGTAAAGTAATAACCACATTTTACTTTCTAACACAGGATACTATCCAGATGATGATTACTCAAGGCAATATCCAGCTAAAGGAGTTAGAAAAAACACTTGCATTAGCAAAATCTTAATGCTTGTGTTTATCTGAAGAATTTTCAAATATTCATGTTTTTTGCTGAGTTTAGGCTTAATGGACAGCTCAAAGCCAAGTCAAACTGCTGGTATGAACAGTACTCAGGTACACTTTCAGAAGATGGAGCATAGTGCATTCTGGAAAGCAATGAAAAGCACAGTGAAACAATGCTTTGGAACTGAGAAACACACCTGAGTTCTAATAATGTTTCCGGATGTGTCACTAGTTTTCATAAGAAGCAAAAATTATTAAACAGCTTGTTGCATGTGAAAAGATACTCAACACATAATCTGGAAAATGCATATCAAAACCATACTGAGGTAGCACTTCATTTTCACTACAATGGCTATAATTAAAAAGGAAAATAAACATTGGTGAAGATGTGGAGAAATTGCTCGGTGGCACACACCTATAACTTCAGCACTCTGGAAACTTCTTGAAATACCCTTCTGTATTACCCTTAAGGGGCATCAAGTACCTTGTTCAGCTGTGCCATGATTTGATAGCCAAAGGACTTTTGAAAGACTCACTGGCAAATCTGGATTTCTGCTGGAAAAAAAAAGGAAAAGAACTTAACACATTCAAATACCAAAAAGAGCAGGGAACACTTTAGGCAACTTCTGGGTGAAACTTCCAGGACTACCTTTTGATGTGGATAGAAGTATATCCTGAAGGAAAATCCTCAGTATGTTAGGTTCTTCTTCAGAGAAAGGAAAAACAAAGAATTCTGAAGAGTACATCAGAGACAAATACATCAAAACCAGGTTGACTGAGGACGCTTTTGATAGCAATTACATTTATAATACATGATTAACTTAAAGATGTGGAGTCAAAAGTTTATGGAAGTTGAGGTTATCAGTCTTGAAAACTCAAGTCCTGTTCAACAGAACAGAGCTAAGAAGTGAATCCAATCTGGCCAGATGGCGAATCTGAGAAGATTTAGACAGAATTTTGCAGAATGAGATATGGTGCTGGTAACTGCACTGGAAGCCAAAGGAATAGAAATAACCGGTGGTATGTATCTTTGTTGATGGCCTGGAGTGCCAGAGCTCCACTTCTGTAGCCTCAGGATTCACAACACGGTACTTCAGAATCCTCTTCTGAGGGAGTAACCTAATGCAAAAGGCTTGCATGAGCGTTTTCAGGTTCCTAAATAAACACTAATATGTTGAAAACCATCTGACAAGGAGAAGCATTGGTCAAGTTTCTGAATAAAGAATACTTTGGAAAGATTTTGCGGTATGTTTGATGTACGTACTCAAACACAGTCTAATAAATCTATAAACATTTTTTTGATACAGGGTTTTGCTCTGCAATTCAGGCTAGCTTTGAACTAATTGTGTAGCGCATGCTAGCTTCAAACTCTCCGTGATCCTCCTGCCTCAGCCTCCTAAGTGCTGAAATTATAGGTGTGTGCCACCACACCCAGCTGAAGAAGCCTACAATCAATGAATTTAAAAAGTTTATGGAACATGCAATCAGGGACTTTTGCAGTTATGTATATAGGAACACGCATTTGTGGTTTGAATTCAAGATGCAAATATTAAACTCCATGAGAACTGAATCTAGGGTTTGTGTTTTTTTTTTTTAAATAGATAAAACACTGGAAATTGAACTATTTTTCAGAGGCTAAACGTAATGACATTACATTAATTCTATCTTCATCTATACAGTCATTTACTGTGTTTATTTAACATGCTTTGATTTTGCCTCTGAATTGTAGATCAAATCTTCTCATGAGCTAAAAAGGTTTATTTTTGCAGTTTTTTCTCAGGTCAGAAACTGCAGTCCTTAAGACAGTGTTCAGCATAGAACTGTTGGTTAAACATTTTATTCGTCATGAAGTGATCTTTAGCAGTATTTGGGATTAGACAGTTTTTCTGTATAAACTACTCCTGTTTGAGTGTTACTTTTGCTCCTCCAGTTTGAGATGTGACTGTTAAGCGTTATGCATATGAATAATAATCCTTTATAGCCAGAGAAGCAACCAAGTCCACTTTATACATACCATTTGTCTCTGTATCAGTCTCTCCTTTAAAAATGTGCCAGGGGTTGGAAGCCTTAAGCTCATGGGAGAGCAGCGCTGTGAATGAGCCTGCTGAGACAGATGACTAATAACAGCAAAGCAGAGCGTGTCCCTGCCATTGGTATTACTGCAGTGTCACCAGCATACACTTGTATGAGATCAAAAAGTCAGTGTGCCAAGCTAGAAATCACTATTGGCTTCCCCTTTGCTTGATTCAGGCCTTTAAGAAATTATATTAGGATTAAGTTTCCTGGTTTTGTTTACTCGAAAGAGTAAATCACTTCTTTTAAAAAGTGTATGTTTTGTGTCTCTTGAGTTTAGTATGTTCGCACTTGATTTAAAGGGAAAGAATATTACCACTTAAAATTATAAATACAAATTACAAAAAGTCTTTCAATTGGCCTTTCAGATCATATTCAGTTGGCTTTTATAATCCACATTTTACAAGAGGGACTGTATTGATTAGCAACAGTTTGTCTGAAAGCATCTTGGCTTCATGTTATTTACAGTACAAACGACGTTTCCCCTTTCCCCTTTGTTCAGTGCTTTCCAAATGGTCAACAGTTACGCATTTACGATTTCACTGAAGTCTGCTGAGCTGCAATTGTGTACTGACCCGGTCGACCTTCAAAGCAGCTAGGTGGATTTGCTCTAAATCACATTTTCACAAATGCAAGGCAGAGTGTGGCTGGGTCAAGGTGCGCTTTCAAGAACCATACAATTTAGTCAACTACAACAGAAGAAAGCCTAGGCTAAACAAAGGAGTCACATTTTCATTTTTTAATGAGTTCAAGGTCCATAGCATTGGGAACATTTAACACTTGAAGGAGACACAAATTGAAGGTGATAAAAATATTAAATAGAAGACAAACATGCTTCTCAACTATATCAACATTTGACTCAAAAGTATAAACATAAAAATATTTCCTTTATTTTGGGCTCCTAAAGTCAAAAGTGAGATTAGAACTAATATTCATTTATCACACATATTTAGTATACTCAATGTAATAACACACTGACAATTTTAAAATGTAGTATTGTACTGCTTTCTCCTATTGTACATCACTTTTCCCTATACATATTCAAAGTTTCAGTCTCAAACAAATATGACTTACATGACAGGCTACAAATTGTTAATAGTTCTGTTTCTTCAGAAAAATGAAGTTGGGCATTTGCTCATTATAGCAAATAACTCAAGGGGCAAAGATGGAAAAATACCAGACCTACAGTTGTTTTGACAGTGCTAAGAAACAAAAAAGACCTGGCAGTTGTTGAAATTGCAACACTGTTGTGTTGGTCTTCACTGAGAGGTCAGCCCTCAGAGTAGGAGGCCAGTGACCCTGTTCTGTCTCCCGCTTCTCTTGGTTTTCTCTTCTGTGACAGAGCACCAAGGAACATCTTTGTAGACTGCCACCCTAAGTCCACCTGACATTTCTAATTCCTCTCTGATCTCTTCCCTACTTGTGACTTTTGACAAAAATACCCAGTTCACAGTGATAAGCTGCCTGCTGCTAATGGGTAGGAGGTATATAAGCAAAATACTCCCATCAAAGCACTCTACAGTCTAGATTTGATGATTCAGTTAAAATTGTTTTCAGCATTTCACAAGGAAACCTTGAAGAAAGAAAAATTCTGTTAAGTGACAATGATTCCTGCTTGGGGCATGACTTAACAGAACTTCCAGAATTCTCTCTTTGAGCATTAGGCAGGTCCCAGTAAATGTATATACTGAAGAATGAACCTACAGAAATTTTTGCTATCTTGGGACTAGATTCAGAAAACTGAAGATAGATACAGTCTACCCCTACAAGCCTGAGATTCTGCATTTTCAATAGTGAAATGAGAAGGGAAGAGCCCCTAGATGTTCAAGCCCAGTGGGTATCTGGGAAAGGACTTCACTACCAAGGAGCTGAGGAATACGATAGCTCACAACATGCTGTCAACCTGAGATCCCATGCATTCCATCTTAACAGTGATGCCGAATCATTTTTAAAGAATGTCTGTATCCTTGGGTTGCCACCATCAGAAAAACAAACAAACAAAAAAAGCAAAACTGTGAGCTAAAAAGACTAAAAGCTTTTTCAGGATGTTTCCATGTCAAGTCATTTTTATGTGGCTCAATGAGCAGTATTTTATTCACAATTATATCCAGTAGTTACTAGGTTTCTGTGTTTGTACAATTGAAGATTCTAGTATATGTGGAATTTTCAGGAGGTTGGTAATTCAAAGGATGAAAGCTTAAAGGATAATTAAATCCAAAGTTTCAGTATAACCAAGTGGCTCTGACAGCTTCCCACCTGTGTTCATTTCATTGGTTCCAGAGTAAAGTCTTAAGGGCTCCATCAAGCTGGGAAGCAATGATTTCTAACCCTATTCACTGACCAACTAGACAGTTACTGTGAACCCACGGAAAGTTTCTGAGTTTCCTCAGTGATAGAATCAAATACTTTCCTCAACTCAAAATCAAATACTTTAAAAGAACACTTTTTAATAAAATGTAGATCAAACTCATTAAGAAAAGTACTCTTAAGTAATTAGGTTTATGATTGGATTATAGAAGTTTCAGGTAGTTGTTGCATGAATGTTCTTCCCATTAATCTGCTATGATTGATTTTTTTGGCTGAAAATACAGAAAACATGATTAAGTCATTGAAATTTTCTCATTTGAGCTCATGAACATTTCTGGTCCTGTTAGCCACTTACTTGTCTTGGCGTTTCAAAAAATTAAAATATAGTGGACCTGGTAACATCATGAAAATCTCTTTCCCTTTAGAATTTACTTGGTAAATTTTTACCTGGTTAAAACATCACCATTTTGAGGATTAGGGTTCTGATGAAGAGACATCTTGGAGTTACCCCCTCTTAGAAAGACACTCTTGTCTAGGCACAGCAGGTGTGTTCATGTGAGTTTACAAGGATGTAATTTTCTTGCTTTTGACTTACAATTTTACACATCTTGCACTTTGGGTTTAGGGTTACACATTCTGTTTCTTACGTAGCTTGTTTAATCTGAGCTTTTGAACTTAAAATGAACCTGCACTAAGGTTTGGTGTTTGTATTGAAATCTGAAAGAGCAGGTTTCCCCTGGTTTCGGCTTAATTGTTGTCTCTTCCCTGTAACTTCGGGCTGCATGAAGCATGTATCTGGCACATTTTAGAAATTTGTGATTTTTTATTTAAAGGCAAATCTGTTACATGTACAGTGATTAACGTAGCCAGAGCTACTCTGCAGTTGCAAAGCTCGGAATTCTCTTCAGGAATTCTCTTCTGCGCTGTGCCCCACGTCCTAATCTTCCTTCTGCACCTTGGTCCTCAGTTTAGCAAGCTCCTCTTCTAAACTTTTAATGTACTCCTTCAGCGTGGCCTTGTCTTCCTGGGCTTTCTGATTGGCTTGACTTCGTGCCTCCTCAATCTTCCTTTCGTACCACTTTTCCATCTGAGTAGAAACAGCTTCAAAAAAATACTGGGTCAGCTCCAGGGCTTGAGAAGTGTTGCGGGCGCGAGGGGCAGTCTGCTCGCTGCCGGCTGCGGGCTGCCCACAGGTGCCACTGGGCTGCTGGGCCCGATGCTTCGTCTGCCCACTCTTCCCAGACTTCTTGGTTTGAGTGCTTCTGTTGACACACGGCCCAGCCTGCTGGTCATACTTGGCTGCCTCATTCACGGGCAGCTGGGCTGTCTGGACCTTGACATTCCTCAACCGGGAGCCTGTACAGTCAGAGGAGGACAGCTCCTGCTGGAGTCTGTGGGTAGCAGTGCTGTCGGGGGCCTTTTCCTTGGGCCTAACCACTTGTGAAGAACTGTCGGAGGCCGCTGCTGGGCCCACAGTCACCACTGATGGATCCACACCTGGTTTCAGAAGGAAAACAGACATCAGAGCAAACTCGCATTCACAACCAAGTGGTAGTAGGGTGGCGGTGGTGAGTTCTGGGAAGCCTGTACATCAGCTGCATATTCTCTCCGATTTTCTCTGTCCTTTTGTCCTTCCTTCCTACTTCATCTCCCAACATTATCATTCTGGCTCGTCAGGACTTTCATGATACTGTGTTAGCCACATTGGTTGCATCTAAGTCAAAAATTTGCTAGGTTTTCCTTTTGCCTGTCTCAGTTCTACCTTAGAAGGCCACAGGTCTCATTTCCTGATATGTAAGAATGACATAACTCATGTGTCTCAAAACAGAATGAACATTGTCTATTAGAAAAAATAATCGCCATCCTCTAATTGCTGTAAGATCTGAGTGCTAGTTCCTTGTCCCAGGCTTCGTTTTAAACATGTCCTATTCCATATACTAAAGCCCTATGACCAGTAAGCCTGAAAACTGCCAGGCTGTTTCCCAAGCTGTTAGCACAAATAAGATAAAATTACATTTCCAGAAATGGCTGTGACAGCGTGAAACGCTTTATAGATCCAAGTGCGTCAGTGAGCTTAGTTATCAAGATTCTGAGTGGCCTCAAAATTATCACCATTGAGTCAGCCACAGTGGCAAACACAGGTAGCATTCTGGGAGGCTGAGGCAGGAGGGTCAGAAGTGCCCTACCTGGGCAACTAGTGACTTAGTGAGATACTGTCTAAAAAATAAAAGGAAAGGGGCTGGGGACCTAGTTCAGTGCAAAGGTCCTGGGTTCACTCCTAGTACCAATAAAAGAAATAACCTTTGTTTTTCTTTCAATAAAATAACCAAAGAAAGATGCTTTGCTTGAAGTATCTCCTCTGTAGCACCTGGAACAAGTTCAGTACATGAACTACCATGTAATCAAGCTTTGCATAGTTAGACAAAATTAAAGGGCCAATCAAGAAGAGAAGAATGGGAGAAAGGACACAAAAGAGAAAACCCTGCTGAGGGGACAGATGGCCATTCGTTGCCCTTCTCTTCAGGTCCACTCCAGTCCCATCAACATTGTACCTGGTGCACTGTTATTGTTGACCCACAATTTTATTCCTTCTTCATTCAGATGTTTGAACACTGAAATGACATTATTACTGTATAAGAACTGAATATGTAGTTGTAAACAAAACATGGTGCGTTTCTGTCTAGGGGCACTCCTCAGTCCAACAGTTCCACAGCCCTGGCCTCTACAGGCCGGGGAGAACAAGATCTGGGGGTTCCGTTACTTTTATGCACAGAGGCGCTCTCCGCACATGGGTTACCTGTAGAGGATTCACAAGTAGATGGTGTAGATTTAGCCCTCGAGGCCCGCGAGTCCCCAGAAAGCTTCAGCTCCAGATTCTGAATCTTCAACATGCACCAAGTTTTTAATTCATCCACCAAAGACATCTGAAAATAAATCATATACCAAAAATCCAGTGAATGTGATTAGGAGTTAAAGTATTAAGAAGGCCCTTTTGAATATGGTAATTGAGGTTATCCATTTTGATAAACCTAAAGTTGTGGATTATTCATTAACGGTAAGCCACACCTAACACCCAGGTTATGAGCTCTGTAATTCTCATTAAGAGGCTCAGAGCCATCCAAATTGTTCAAATCAAACATTTCTGGCTGCTTAGGAGCATGCGTTCTCACACTCACAAACATGCCATCTCTTTTGTTTCTGAGAGATGCCTTCAGGGCAGGACCCATGTCATTCAACAAGCACAGCAGCCCCAAATGCCCCATACGTGGAGCTGACTCAGGGCATGGGCCCTTTCCCCAGCATACTGTCTCCGCCACTGCCAACACATCCAGCAACAGACACAAACCAAACTGTGGTTCCTGGCTGGGAACTTCATTTGGGGGCCATATAAATAATGCTTTCGAGAGGAGCCTCAGCCTCAGCATTTTCAGCCATAGCCTGAATCTTCTAACTCAGTGGATGTGAGAGTCCCAAGGGAAAACTGGAGCTGAGGCTTTTACCTGCCGCTTCTCTCCCTCATGCTTCTCAGCATCCGAATGCTGCTGCAGGCGGTTCAGGCACTCTGTCCGCTCTGCCGAGAGCCGCTCAACCATCAGTTTGTCCAAAACACGCAACTAGGATTCAAGGGAACACAGCACACAGTGAGGTGATGCAGAGACAGGCCTGGGTCACTCCTCATGAGGACAGGCTCAGGTCTTCAGAAAAGAATCCACAAAACACACAAGCAAATCAACTTCTCACTGGTTTCACCCCGTGTTCATAGAATACTAGCTTTTCAGAATTCCTGAGTGTATTTCTATAGCCCAATATTCTTTCTTTTTTTTTTCACTTGTTAAAGTCCTACTGGATTTAAGACTATAAAGACTAAATATACAACTTGGGCAGTGCAGGGAAATACAAATTTTTCTAAGTCTTAAAATATTATTTTAAAACTATTTTTAGGAAAAACTATCTCTAAAATATGGAACCATTGCCCTACTTTACCCGTATTCAATTATTCAAATGTGAACAGACACCCAAGGGGGACTGAAACAAGCTGAATATTCAGTGAGCACATATTTTTGGTGCCACGTTAAAGGCAGTCAAAGCATGTATAAAAATGGGTGTGGGAAGACTTTATGGAACTGCTTACATGGCAAGTGGTTAGCATCTTTTAGACCCTTGGAGAGCCTCCCTCCATTCCGACACCTCCTGGAGGCCCTAACCCCTAGCACTGTCTGGTCACAGCCTAAGGAGGAGCCTGGAGCCACTGTCAGCAGGAGCCAGCCCACCACAGCTCACTGGCCAGTTCCGCTCCTGTTGGCAACATATACGGCATTCTACACACAGATGTTCAGATAATCAAAAGCAGAAACCAGTTCTGGGCTGTGGGCAGCACCTTCTGTTTTGTCTACGCAGTCCCATGAGTGAACTGCTCTCACTGTTCCTATGACCAGCCTGTGCCTCTGCCCTTTATCTTATCCTCTTCCTGTGGAGGCATCTCTGCCATCTGCAGTTGTGTGTATGCAGGGCTTTGTTCCCTGGTGACAGTGGCCTGGCCCAGGCCTCAGTACCTGACTTACACTAGGTCAAAGTTCTGTCCCTGCTCTTTGGAAGGAGACTGATCTTACGTCCCAATCTTTGAAGTGAAGAGAGGACCTTGGGATACCTAGCATCAGTCTAAAGTAGTAGTGTATGAGACAGGCTAGCTAATAAAGCCTCAGCTAATCTTATCACAGCCCTAAGATTTTTTTTTTTTTTTTTTTGTCTTTTTCATTTTTATCGGTACCAGGGATTGAACTCACGACTGCCTGCTTGCAAGGCAGGTGCTTATGCCGCTGAGCTAAATCCCCAGCCCCAAGCCCTAAGATTTTTAAACAGCCTTTTCACACAATGTGAATACCAAATGCACTTAAAAAAATTCAACTTTACCAGTAAACAAGAACATGAAGCTCAGACATTGCTGGGTGGGATATAAATTGCAGTCGCTTTTCTATTTAAGTAAATGAGCAACACTTATCAAGAACCTTAAACATTAACCTTTGAATCAGGTAGCCTAATGGTTAGAAAAATCTTTAGTTCAATTATTCCTAGCTTAGAAGCAGTCAGAAGTTTATGCACATAGATATTAATGATAACATTATTTATGAAAGCGAAAAAAGCATAAAAACAAGTTATGTTGTATTTATATACTGGAATATTACGGATCTAAGGACATGAGAAATGCTCCTGGCTGAAGTGAGAAAAGCAGCAAACAAAATACCTACCTCTCCCACAGGTAGGAGAGCACACTTTCCAAGACCACACTGTAGTTCTACATGCCGAAGGCATATCGCTACATGAAAAAAGCAAGCTGCCAGAAAGCCAGCAAGGTTCCCCTTTTGTTTAAAAGTGACTGTTATGGAGGATACAGTCTATGACATGTCCTATGGGAGGCTGGGAGGCTCTTAAGAATGTCACTAAGATACATACTTCTAAAATGTGTGTAATGGTTTTCCCTATGCACATGTGTTATTTTGCACATTTCTTTTAAAAAGTGTTTACTGAAGAAAATTACCCATCACACATTTCTTACACACTGATTGAAAAATATGTTGAAATAAAATCATTACAGTAAAAGATACAGTGCCATTAGCCCCCCTCCAAACACTCCCCTTCATCTCAAATATTCTCATTCTTGTCACTTTCTAAAGCAGCTCTAAAGTCTTTTTCTCAACTGTCTTTAGCTGCACGGTTGAGGCTGTCTTGAATATTATAGAGGGTGGTGTAAGTTTTGGTAAAGTATACATTATTAATTGCACTGTCATGGCGGCCTTGATGTCCTGAACTGGCTCAGATGGTTACCTTTCACGATGATTTTGACTTTGGGGAAGAGCCAGGAGTTGCACGGTGCCAGCTCCGGTGAATAAGGGGGAGGAAGAGACGCTGTGATGCTTACGCCCTGCCTTGCTGGACCGCACTCAGAAGTGCGTTGGCTGAATTCTGATCACATCTCTTAAAGACACTGCAGAGGCCTGCTTCCCGAACTGCCTCAGAGAGCAGCACGAATGACAGGATAAGTGTGTTTGGAGAGAGGGAAAGTATTTTTGAAGGGAGATTAATGGAAGTATGCCTTTTACTCTAGTAATTTTTAAAAATTCAAACACTTGATAATACTTTGTCTTATCTTCAAAGGGAAAATTAATTTACAATGGAGGAATATGAAGGCCACCAGTTAAGCCATGTGATCAGTGTCATTAATCATGAGACACCTGTAGATGTAAGGCAATTTAAACTTTGTATCACTTACTATAAAGTATTCTTGCCAGAATACCTGAACCTAAATAGCTGTCTAGACTAGTTCTCACACACAAGCACACTTGGAGGTCTCATTAAAACACAGGTTGACAGCCTCAAGCCCAGTTATACTCAGTTAACTTTAATTCACATCAAAGACAGCCTCTCTTTAACAAATGATGCTGGGAAAACTGGTTATCCACATGCAGAAAACTGAATCCAGAAACTATCTCTCCACCATGTACTAAACTAAAATCAAAATCGATCAAGAACTGTTAAAACAGAATCAACCTGCTGGGAAAGGTAATTCTCTAGGAGTCACAGGCATAAGGAAGGACTTTCTGAACAGAACTCCAGAAGCACAGGAAATAGAACTAGGATCAGCAATTGGGATGTTATTAAATTAAAAGGCTTCTGCACAGCAAAAGAAACAATCAACAAAGTGAAAAGACAATCTACAGTATGTATAAAGACTATCTAGACTAGATAAAGAACTAAAAAAAATTAGACCTACCAAAATAAACTACCCAATCAAAATATGGGCAAGTGAAATGAATGGAGACTTCTTGGAAATACAAATGACCAATAGATACATGAAAAAATGTTCAACACTGCTGGCCATTGGAGCAATGCAAATTTAAATGCCACTTAGATTCCATCTTACCTTAGAAAGAATGGCCACCATCAAGAAATCAAGTAACAAATGCTGGTGAGGCAGCAGAGGAAAGGAACCCTTCTACACTGGCGGGAGTGCGAACTGGCAAAGCACTATGGAAATCAGTATGGCGATCTCTCAGAAAACTGCAACGAGCTATTCCACCCAGCTCTTCCACTTCTAGTATCTTTTCAAAAGAGTTAAAGACATTATATTGTGGTAATACATGCACAGCCATTGTTATGAAAGCAGCACAATTCAAAATAGCTAAATCTTGGAAGCAGCCTATGTGTCCATCGGTACCTGAATGATAAAGAAAATGTGGTATTTATACACAATGAAGTACTCTTCTGCCATAGAGGATAAACTTGAGTCAGTTGTAGGAAAATGGATTCACCTGAGACTATAGTATTAACACGAAATAAATCAGACTCATAAGCTTATTAAATATTATATGATTTCCCTTATATGCGAACTCTAAAATATGAAGAAAAGGTAATAAGAAGTAGAGAGATAGATTTTTCTCAAATGGGAAGGGATCAAGGTGGAGGGGAGAGACAGAAGATAAAAAAGAATGGAGACGCGTTACGTGCATGTACCAACTTCCCACAAGGAATGTGAAAGTTATATACTGCAAACGTACTAATAAAAAATAAACCCAATTTTCAATCAGTCCGGGGATTACACTTTCAGAACTACTACTGTTCTAGACCTTTCATTTCACAGAGACAGTGATAAGGGAACAATACAATAATACTGTGGCTGTGCATGGAGGAGCATGCCTGAAACTCCAGCACTCAGGAGGCGAAGGCACGACTGTGGCAAGTTCAAGGCCAGCCTGGGCTACACAGTTCAAAGCTACCTGAACTATACACGGAGACCCTGTCTCAAACACAAACCAAACACAACAACCCAATCGTGAAAAACTACTGGACAAATTCAGAATATACAACAACATATATAAAACAACTGGCCTTGATGCATTAAAGGGTTAATATTGTGGACAGAAAAACGCAGAAGAAGGAATCAGGGATTGTTCCAGATTACAGTCAAATGCACACAAAAAATCTTTACCACCCCTAGATCAGGATTAAAAATAAACCCATTATTTAAAACACTGGGGAGTAGCTGAGGGCCTCTGAGTGTGCACTGGATACGCCACACTTTGTTTTGGCACCGGGGATGGAACCCGCGTCTCTTGTGCTAAGAGCACTGTGGTGATGAAGGAGCAAGTCTTTGTTCTTAATGCACTCTGAAGTGTGGAGGACATTCTGCAGGTAGATCTCAAATAGTTCAGGAGGAAAAACCAGCGTGGAAGTCAGAGACGAAGCAAAGCTTATTAACAAGTGGGTGAAACTAGCTAGGTGAGGGTAAGTGAGCAGCATTATTTTGTGCCCTCAGTTTTTCTGTATGTTTGACAGCTTTCCAAGTAAACTGGCAAAGAAAAAGCTACAGACACGATTATTCTAATTCTCGTGTCCAACCAGGAAGGGGTGTAGAGCACGCTGATAGGCAGAAAGACTGGAAACCCTCAAACACTCAGCATTTTCTCATCACAGTGAGCTTACAGGTGATGCATTTTTTTTTCAATTATCAGCTTTTTAAGTGGTCTAAAATTTATTATTTATACAATCAGAGGTTTATAATTTAAACCCCTTCTTAAAAATTCTAAGTAAATGGACTTCACCACAATCCATAAGCAGCCTCCGCCCTGACAGCTCACTTGACATCTCGAGGGCTAAAGCCACCCGCAGGGGTGCTGTGGCTGGAGCCTCAGGCCTCATGTTTGGCGAATGCTCTACCTCAGAGCCACAGCCTCAGCTCCAGCCCCAAAGCCTTTGATTTTATCTTCTGCTAGAACCTGAGGTAGTCAGGAGACCAGGCTGCTCGCTTACTTGATGCTGGGTCTTATTCTCCAGGTGCCCCAGCTTTGTATTCATTTTGTCCTGAACTGATCCCAGCTCTGCTTTTATCTCCTCCACAGTTGCCTCCAGTTGATTCTCCAGTTTGTTGATTAGAGGTTCACATCGACAACCATTTATTGGTGCCTAAGAGGGAAATCAAAAAGCAATCAAATTCTTCATTCCTTCAACAAATGTTTTGGGCACCCACTGTATGCCAGGGAGAATACCAGGAGATACAGGTGATGGAGGAGGCAGCTCCATCCTGTCCTCTCTTTGGAATGTCCTACAGCCTGAGCTTTGGACGCAGTAGACACTAAGAGCATTCCAAGGTAAGACACAGTCCCTCTGTCTTCCAGCTGCTGTTGTTCCCTAGTCACCTAAAAGTGGTGAGAATGGTGAGGCTCTGGAACCAAGCTTCCATCTACTGGGTCCTAACTGGCAGGAGCGTCTACTAGGTCAAGACCTGAGGTGCCCACCAGCCCCCAAAATACAGTTCCACAGATAGGCTTGCTGGTGGTCTCTGGCTTCCCGACAGTTCCCACGGTACCTGCATCACTTTCCCATCCTTGCCCCGGTACAGCGTGTACAGCTGGTACGCTCTGAACTCATGGGGTGGTGGTGGGGACAAGCACCGATGCCTGCTCTTCTTTTTAGGATGATGGTGAGCGTGTGAGTCCTTCTGGGGTCCAGGCTGTTGGTCTGCTGGTGGGGTGAGGTCAGACAGTGCTGACACCTGTGAGGGAAAGAGCGCCAACACCCTTGAGCCTTGCAACATCTGCAAGCGTGACAGCCAGCCACTGCTCCTGTCTCCCCAGTTCGGTAAAGAATTCCACCTCCTGCTTCACTGGGTGGTGCCTGCCCCAAGCCCCACACCAGCATGCCCACCTCCTGTCTCAGCTTAGCCAGGTTTAGGTTTTATATTCTGGCTCTAACCCCCCACTCCAGGCGAGAAGGCTCCTCAGCCCATGGGCAGGACCAGTCCCAGGGTCCTCTGCCATCTGCCCCACCCCCAGCTGCTGTCACACGCCTCCTGACCTTGGGCCTTGACTTTCTCCTCCTGTTATCCTTCACTCTGGGCTCTGGGGAGGCAGACAGAAAATCTTCTCTGGCTTCCTCTTTTCTCACCTCAGCCTGTTCGCTGCTGGGCGTGTCTCCTGCTGAGACACTTCCCTACAGAGAAAGAGCCGGCAAGCCTCTTCCACTGGTCCCTTCAGCCTTTTCGCCAACAGGGTGAAGTTGTATGCTTGCAAGACTCTGTCCAGTGAGACCCACGGGACTCTTTACCAATGACATAAATTCAGACACAAAGAACACCACCTGGTGGTCTTAACATGTGATGCTTTTCCTCTTTTAGCTGAATCTTTGGCTTTTATTTTGTTAGGTCTCAAATGAAATATATTCTTGGGTCTCATACTAGAATTCTAGAAACCTACCATACACAATAAAGCATTAGATATTTGATCTTTTGCATTTCAATCAAGTATAACCTCTTTCATTCTTTGCACTTGGACCCCCACAATTTATGGCAGAAAGTAAAAAATACTCAGAAATGAAAAAAAGATTGTACTTCTCATGTTGGGCTTTTACAGTATGTATAATTCACACATAGGAACTTAGAGTCACAATGCCTTAACTCTGGAAATTGATGAGGCTTTAAAAAAAAGAAAAAGAAAACAAACAAAAGGCACCTGCCTGTCAAGCGTGAGGCCATGAGATCAATTCCCAGTACCAAAACAAAACAACAAAACCATGACAGACAGAAGAGCAGGTAGTTGGTGGTAACATGTGCTATGTCACAAGTCATCTCAATGTCCTTGCTTTCCTCCTGAGAGGCTTGAAGGGCTGTGCAAGCCCTTCTCTAAGTGAGAAGCAGCCGATGCCAGTGGTTCTCATCAGAAACAACTGAAGGACTTCTTTTTTTTTTTAAATCGGTACCAGGGATCGAACTCACAACCGCCTGCTTGCAAGGCAGGATGCTGCTGAGCTAAATCCCCAGACCCTAACTGGAGGACTTTTTCAACCCAAAAGCTGGGTTCCACCCAGAGCTGACACAAGAACCCTAAACTAGGGAAACCACTGCTCTGCCAATAAAGGGCACAGTATCAGAGAGGCAGTGCTGTCCCCAGGCCACAAATATGAGATGAAATGTGCTCATTCAAGGTGCTGGACAGACACTGGGCAGCACACATCAAGGCACAGGATCTGGACCCCAGCAGAGTACAGAGAGAGTGCAATGCAGAAGGAGAAGGTAGTGACAATCTAAGGAGCCCCGGGGAAAGGAGAGGCCGAGGAGGGCATGAGAGCCAGGTGAGCAAGAGCAAGAACACAGGGCACCGGCCGAGTGGGTGGCTGTGGCTAGCCGGCAGGAGGACCCCACCTTGCTTTGTGCCACCTCTTCTCTCGGTACAGACTGCGCCCTCCTCTCCTCCTTGAGCCTCTCTCTCCTTTTCCTCAGGCTTCGCCCACGACTGAAGCGCAAGACCTATGAGAGGCAAAGGGTGTCGTTATGGCCACTGGTGTGCACAGCGCCGGTGGGCAAGAATCATCCCTAGGCCTGGGGCTCTGACTGCAGGAACCACAGCTTCATGGAGGAGACCAAGCATTCACAGAAAGTGAGCGATTCTGTGCCCACTGTGCCTCTTAGGTCTTGTGATGACACTACAGGAACCCAGAGAGGTAGATGTAGGATACTGTCCCCAACCTCGGGAAGTTTGGATTCTATGATGATAACAGCAACACAGGCATTTACATGCAGGGCTAGAATGGCCAAGTAAGGGTTCGCAAGGAACACCATCAAGTAAATCAGGGTAAGAATGGTGTCCACCAGGGTTGTGCAATGTGGCAGCCCAGGGTCGGGCAGTCTGGACCTCAGTGCACTGAGCCCATCAGATTTTCCCTTCACTAACCTGTGTGTGAGTCAGATTTGCTGTGATGTAAACGTTACTGAGGTGCATCCTTAAACCACTGTTCTAACTGTGGTTTCCAAGAGGAACATTTAGTCTGCGATGTGACCTTTCTGTGCTCTGCCTTCTCAAATGTAAAGCTGCAGAGCAGGCATAGTGGTGCATGCCTGTAATCCCTACACTCGGGAGGCAGAGCAGGACGACTGCTACAAGGCCAAGGCCACCTGAGCTACATAATGAGTTGGAGCCTAAACTACATATTGAGACACTGTCTTAAGGAAAACAATAAGGCTGGGCAGTTGTTGGGATTAACCAAGAGCAGCAGTAGGTGACACATACCATCACTGCCAGGTGCCTCCCTGTCTGCATTGGTGCTGCTTAACTGGCAGAGGACGTTCAACCACACAGAATGCAGATCTTTAACCTGGTGGAACGCTTTGGCCTATGCCTAAATGGTATTTAAGAACATAGAGGATGCTTGGACCAAAAAAGCCTGCAAGTTGCTGCTGCAATTTTTCTCGATGCTGTATTCAGATGCACTTGGAGGTCAAGTCAGATGAAAGCCTAGTTCCGATTGCTCACTTGATTTGTGGACTTTTGGAACAGGACACAGTCCAAACTCAGCCTGAAACTCACTCTCAGAGCATGGGTACATTATGTTAGCCAAATAGGACAAATGATGTATAAAGATCATCCATGTAAAATAATCATGAGAAAGGTTCGCTCCATTTACCAGGTTTTCAGCCAGTAAAGATAACTTGGTATGGCTTCTAGCCTCTCAAATGACCTACTATCTATCAAATGGAATACTATTAATCTCTTCCAGTCCCCTGAAATCAGAGAACATTGATCTTGAAGGCTCAGAAAGAAGTGTCCTCTCAGTACTACTGTGGCCCATTCAAGTCTATGCTAAGGAGCCAAGGCCAAGGGATTTCTCTCCATGGCTAAGACAAACCATAAGGCTCCTCTGCACCCAGAGATCATCAGAATGGCATGCATAAAGCTTTATACATATTCTAAAGTTCCTTGTGTTGCAAATAAGGCTTAACATCTACAATTATGTATGAAACTTTTATAAATGTCATGTAATTTATTATTCGTTACTGTCATAGAAAAATTATTTTCAAACATAAACACAAAAGGAAAGCTGCACTGGGAAATGGCAAAGCTGTGTGTCCTGTAAGTGAAGCTCCCTGGGCTCTCAAAGGCAGATGACAGCTAGGCCAGGTGGCACACACCTGCAGTCCCAGCACTCAGGAGGCTGAGGCAGAAGGGTTCTTACAAGTTCGAGGCCAGCTTGGGCTGCATAGTGAGTTCAAGATCAGCCTGAACTGTATAGTGAGGCCCTGCCTCAAATAATAATAAAATAATAATAATAATAATAAAGAGAAATGACAGGTAGATTAAAGATACATCAGTCTTCATGTGCTTAGTGACTTTCCTAGTCACACAAGACTTGATGATCTTTGTGTAGCTGATGATGGGCTAGCAGTCCATCAAACTGCCAAATGCTGAAATGTCAGGTGAATGTGGTGGATCCTGACATTTAGATAGTGCCTTGCACTGTGCGTGCACACATGGGTCGCTGAGGACTGGACCCAGGGCCTCATACATGCTAGGGAACAGCTCTGCTGCTAAGCTCAATGCCCAGTTCCACTCTGTACTTTTTGATCCAGGAGAGACAACATTTTTCTATCTGTATATTTTATAGATGTGGTTCAATCGATGATTCCTTACAAAAGAGAGAAACTCAGAAGAGATGGAATATTCCACTTCTAGAAGTGTCTTGTGACTCTTATCAGGAGTCTATGGATTTTCAGAAACCACAAGGACCAGCCCATGCTCAAGAGGCTGATCAACTTTGGAAAAGACAAAAGTTCCTAATGATCCCAGAAACTGCTGGTCATGTTAGGCATGTTTGTAAACATTTAAAAATAGAAGGCCATACACCTTCTTTTGATTCCTCGAGACTTTGCCTTCTTACAGCATTAGCCAGAACTGGATGAGAATCAATCAGCGTTTGTGGTATTGTGACACAGAATAGCTCCATCTGTGAAGAACTTAAATGTCCAGCATTCAAATGATAAGACACCAGCTACCATTTTTGAATGAGGATCAAAATACCTTTATTCTATAAAAAAAAGAAAACATTATGCTATACTTCTCTGATCCTGGTGGGCATTTACTGCTTTGTCTGCCCAGAATGGCCCTCTACCTCCCACCTGTTTCTTTTTGAAGGTCCTGGCTCACTTGTTCAGGAGTGGCATCTGCCCAGCCTCTTCAGTCATGGTCCCCTCTCCTGTCAGGTTTTAAACTAGAGCTCCACGCTGAGCAGCTAGGAAACTGAGGTCCAGGAGACTGGTGTGATATGAGCAGCTGCAAGGAGAAAATGACGCCCACACACAAAGACCTGGACTTGAATTCTTTGGCTCCAGTCATGTAGGAGACCCCCACCCCATATCCCTACATTTCCATCACCTGGCTAAGGCTGTCAATTCTCTACTTACTTAGTTTCACTTGGCTTCAACAGTTGCAACCAGAGGAGTCACCGCAAGTTTAAGGCCACATAATCAATGCAATAGAAAGTACAGTAAATCCTACCTGGGGAGCTTTAGTGAGGGTAAGAGCGATTTCTGGATTATTGTGGTAGCGAGCAGTCTCCAGCGGAGTCTGGCCTGCCTAAGGAAAGGCAGAGGGAAGATGGTCATACACAGCTCTTGCCAGGAGCAGGCAGGTCCACTCCTGACTGCACCTAGCATCGGCCTGTGCTCAGTAACACAGCCACACGGTGGCCTTCCTCTGTAGCTCACACCGTGCACCAAGGGGCCTCGTCACATGTGAGCACATGCCAATTAACACGTCTCAGCACAGGGGAAAGGGCTGACCCAGGGAGCAGGAAGTGGTTTAGGAGGCAAAGGTCCAGGGCACTGCCCACCAAGGATGCTTCCTAGGAGAAGAAAGCAGGAAGGGTGGAAATCAGAAAGGTCAAGGAGGAATGCTGCTGCTGACAGCACAAACGATCCTTAAATCCATGCAGCAATGAGTCTTTCTGGAGAAGAGTGGAAAAGGGGCTATGACCAGACTGTAGGTGCTAAGCCAAAACCCAGGAGCCCCAGGGACTGTGCTTTCAGCAAAGCTCACCAGATCCTTGGGCCTGTAAGGAGTTAGGTGACAACAACACACGCTACCTGGGAGTGGGTGAGAAGGTCTTTAGCAACCAGGTGCAACTGAACTTACATTATTCATGATGGTCCCATCTGCTCCAGCTTCCAGGAGGATTTTAACCACCTTCTTGTGATTTAGGGCAGCAGCAACATGAAGGGCTGTATCTCCGGCCTGAAAATCAGAAAGAAGCCTGCTAAACCCCATCTGATCTTGTCCTTCAGCTCTGTAGCCTTTCATTCCAGGTCTAGGACAGCTCTCCAAAGTCAGATTAAGATTTCTCTACATAAATCCTAAAGTGTTACGTGGTTCTATCTAAAGAGATCCTGGAACCACATAGCTGACCCCTGTCACATTCTGGTTTAGCATTCCAGAAGTCACAGAATAGGATTAAATGCAGGAGCAAAATCCTGCTAGGCTTGCTTAGTGAGAATGTGCCAAAGTGTCACAGAGGCAGAATGATGGACAGAAAGCCAAGGGCTTGTTATCCTGGAGCTCTGGACACTGTGCCTCCACTCAGGGAAGTCAGAAAGCAACTTAACTTATGACCAATGGAGCGAGCAGAAGTGCACATAAGACCGGAGATGTACAGCTCAGCCTCAGACAGAAACGGGACCTGAAGGAGCCGGGGCTTACATATCCACCTGCGCTTGGGGATGTTCTTTATTTGGGTGGAGACATTTGGGTGGTGCTCATTTAAGACTGTTTTCTAACTCTTATTTTTATATTTTCTTTATAAAGAAAATGTTTTCAGGCAACTCTGAAAGGATTTTTAAAAAAACAGTTGCAACTTAGGCCAATTCCACATGCAAATGTTATAATTTTTTAAACAGTATGGTATCAGTAAATTAGTCAGATACAGAAGAAGTAAAACATTCATTCTCTCCCTTGGTAGGTGATAAGCAAACAGCCTTGATACCTTTTTCACAGGCAGCATGAAAACTCAGCTATCTCTGTAAGTAGTAGCAGAAATGGTTATTTCTTTTCTGAGTCACTTAGCTGTGTGTGTTGGGGAGAAGGCTCTGTGGAGTGGTTTCTAATCTTGGAATCCACTAGGGAGCTTTAAACAAACACTGATGCCAGGGTTCTATTCGCAGACCTAATTTCATTGGTCCAAAGTTTGAGTTGGGTGTGATGATCTTTTTAAAGCTCCATGGCAACAATAAGATGCTATCAAGATTAAGCAGCACTGATTGGTGGGGCTGCAGAGGGAGCCTGATGAACCAGAATCTGCTAGTGAGGTCACAGAATGACAAGCTTGATTACTGGGTCAGTGAAGGAGCTTTCTAAAAAAATACTAATGCTTGGACTAAAAAAAACACAGAGATTTGGGATGTGGGTTCTAGGAATAATTTTAGTTTCCCTGTTGCTTTCATATGCATTCGAGTCAAAACACTGTTTTAAGGTATACCTAATCTGAACCATAATCTAATCTTTAAACATATTTCAAATTTATGCATCCAAACTCAGAAAAGTCAAACAATGCATCATTTAGGTATCAATAAATATGAAGACAATCTATTTTATCCAAATGACTATTGAGAAGTTTGAGCCTTTCCAGAGAAGACTGTAATAATCAAAGCATCATTCCAAAACCCCATTATATGATACAGATATAGGTCATGTACCCAGTTTACAGAATAAAACAGTTCAAAAAAAAGTAAGCAACAGTACAAGGAACACAACCAGGAGAGTCCTGAAACTACTAATTCCCTTCTAATGTAAGCCACACTCCTCCTTGTGGATTTCCTTTTTAAAATCATGTTATAAAAATATTCACACTAAGGGCTGGGGATTTAGCTCAGTGGCATAAGCACCTGCCTTGCAAGCAGGCGGTCGTGAGTTCGATCCCTGGTACCAATAAAAAAAAAAATAAAAAAAGAAAAAGACAAAACAAACAAACAAACAAATATTCACACCAGGATCTCCAAAAACAAGTTCAATATGAAAATGTGGTGACACAAACAGGAATGACAAGGGTGGGCTTCTCTAGGAAGTGAGAAAAGCCAGGGCCGTTAGACCTTAGTGGGATACTCTGCAGGAAACGGTGCTCCTGGAGACCCATGCAGGTCAGAGGGCAGCATTTCCCAGCAGCCTCTGCTCCAGCTGGGGCTAACATACCTGTTGCAGCCTTACGGAACGGTGTTGGCACCATGAAGAAGAGTCATGCACTAACCTGGTTCTTTTCATGGACAGAACAGAAAGCACTGAGGAGGAGCCTAATGATGGACAAGTGATTATAGCGCGCAGCAACGTGCAAACAGGTGTCGCCTGCCTGCGGACAGAAATCAAACTAAGCACTCAGCATTACAAAACAAAACAAAATAAAACAAAATGACAATATCATTTAGCTGGTGGGCTACTGTACATTCGTTAAGGGATGTTAATGGGGTAATAAGCAGCTCTTGCAACACAGAAGCCTGCTCTAAGCTGTGCGGCCCTGTGCTGCTCTGGCTGCTGCCTGCACACCTGCTAACTCTCTGCCTGCGAGGAACCACCGTGTATCAGCCACAGTCTCTGCTTTCATGTTTGTGAAACTGATGCCGCTCTTCTCGAGACCTTCAAAAGAGCAAGGTTTGTGATGAGGATCCACAGGCCTGGCCTCCCCAGCTGCCCAAGCAGTCTGGTGTGAAATGAATTAGACCCAAGGGCACTGCTTTGGAAACAAGTCTTTCTTGGCACAGAGCCACTTTGGCTAGTCGGACTCTGCCACATGCAGTAAAGCAGCCGGGACTGTGGGTATACGAGTAGTCACTGGCAGCTGAAAAGGGCATTCAGGAAAACTCAAGAGCTTCCTCTGTAGGCACAGACTCAAGCCTCAGCAACAGGAGGAAAAGTGATGTTCTCCAGTACTCTCTTAATATTTTCATCTTAGCTGTCTAGCAAATGGCAACCATTCAGCATAACCTTCTCCGCTGGATTAAGAAAGAGTCAAGCTCAAAGCTGAGGTTCAGAGCAGTGTAGATTCATCTCAGATGAATCTGTCCCCAAAGAGGGACAGCTCCCAGCTAAAGGCACTCCTGGCAGAAGCCTCTGATCCCCTTCTCAATACATCTAAGGCATGTGTTTATACAGGAGAGACAGTTTATTTGTGGAGGAAGGAGGAATGTTCAGAGGACCTTTCTGGTCAGCTTATCAGAAGGACACCTCAGGAGCCAGCAGGACCTGTCCTGTGTGTGCAGGCTGAGTAGGGAACATCACAACCCTTCCCTACCTGACATTGTCCTGAATTTTCTAACAGTACAATATTATGTCTGTGGAGATTTTCTTAAAGTATTCACAGGTTTCCTAGACTATCCTAGCCAGGCATCTGTTGGGTTAACTCAAACTAAAGGTGAGGGGCAAAGGGAGAAGGATCTTTTAAAAAACAAAAAGAGCTTAGAGACAGGCCACAAATACTAGAAATTCTTTTTCATTTCTAGATATTGATACTCAAGTATGCCTCTGGGTTTATTTTTCAAAGGGGCACACAAGAGAAAGAGTGCGAAAGCAGCCAGTTTGTTCACCCACATTATTTTTGAGGTCGGCACGGGAGCCACCCAGCAGGAGGATGCGCGTGCTCTGCGAGTGGTTGTTCTGGCAGGCCAGGTGCAGAGCTGTATTCCCCGCCTTGGAGAGAATGGGAGAGAAGGGAGGACACGTTAGTGACAGGTTTCTGTACACCCTGGGGAGCAGTGGTCCTCACTCGGGGAGGAAGTCAAAATTCTGTCTATCTCCTGATTGAGGGATAGAGGAATCCAAAGGAAGAACATTGAATGTTCAATATTCAGCAAATTCACGAGTCCCCTGTCACAGAAAACCTTGGTGGCAAGTTCTGGTTCTGGCTCAGTCTCTTGCTAGTTGAAAGCCACTGGGCAGGGCTCTTCGAATGCTCAGCCTGCATTCCTTAGCATTCCCTGTCTCCGAGGACTAAGAGCGCTGAGGGGCACGACGCAAGGCATGAAGTGCAGAAGCACACGCATGCAGCTGTGAGTCCCTCTTGGAGAGGACTTCCTGCCCAGCGGGGGGCCCGCCCAGCTACTACTGCGGCTACCGTGTACTAATGGTGGACTAAAAAGGCAAATAGACCACTTCCTGAAAGTGCTGCCTACTAGTAATTGAGATATAGCCTGTAAGCATTTATCAGATTTTCCCACTTTTTGTTTTTTGGTTTGGTTGTGATGGAGTTTCCTATTTAGTCCAGGCTGGTATCAAACTCTCAGTGACCTTCCTGTCTGAACCTCCTGAGTGCTGGGATTACAGGCATGTGCCACTGCAATTGGCTTTTCTTAAAACATCAAAAACTGAAGTACCCCGCCTATCAGGCAATACTGTAAATGCAGTTCTATCTGCCATTTCCAAAACAGAGGCTTTTTGGACTCTCTTTGCAACATGCCACCTCATAATGACAACTAAGAGGCAGAACCCTGCCCGCAGAAATCTTGCAGAAAGAGCTGCGTGCCATGCACACAGCTTTGTGATTCTGTGGGAGCAAGGTCTGTAAGGCTGCAGATAAGCTCCAGAGAAGTAACACCATGAGCAGGAAACACAAGATGAGGCTTGGCACAATCGGAGCCCTCTGACAGTGCCCACACACTCGGGAGGCTAAGTGTACAATCTCAGGGTCTCACTAAGTTTAGGGGCTAGGTCAGGTGGCAGTTTGCATGAGCACACTACCCTTAAGGTGCCTGCTGCTTATTTCTCCCTCACCTAGTTTACTTCCCTGCCAAAACTCCAGGATATCAGATTCCTGACCTTTCGAAGAGAAGAATTAGCAATGATAGATATAGACAGACAAAACTGTCCATCACCAGGGCACTTACTTCCCTCCCCTCTCCTAATCTTATCTCTTACCAGCCTGGATAGGCCTTTCTTGTTATCTGCAGTAACACAGAGGATTCCAAGCCTGAAGGCTTGGTGAGCCAGCAGTCTGAGCTGCACATTACAGTCACCTGGGGTTGTGTCTAAGATGCCCTGCACAGCTCCCACCCTTCTCAGGATGAAGTTACTTGTCCTCGGCTGCCTAGGATAGTTGGTTAGCATAGACTTTTTGTTGTTGTTTAAAATTTCCCAGGAAAATCTAATGTGCAGCCATTTCCAGAACCACTGCTAATCTAATTCTCAACAATGAAGAATCTGCTTACATTTTAAATGCTTTGTTCCAACTTGTTGGTTTCAAGGTAGTCAGTTAATCATGTACTGAATAAATGAGCAAAACAAGATAAATCTGGGGCCAGGGATTTAGCTCAGTGGTGTAAGTTCCTGCCTGGCAAACACAAGGTCATGAGTTCGATCCCCAGTACCCTCTCCCCCACAAAAATAAATCTGATGGCTCTAGAAATATATCAAAGTTCACTTTGACAGTAACAAAACATTGATCATGTGGAAAAATATTTGGTTCAAGTCAATCACACATTGTCGATTTAGATGGCAACTTGTGTACATCTCTGAAGGAGAACTCTTAGGCAATGGAAAATGCTGGGCCATCCTTACATGTAACCACACAGAATCACAAATACACTGCACTAAGTGAGCGAAGGCTGTGTGTTACAATACTCCCTTTATGTAAAATTTTCCAAAAGGCAGATCCAAAATGAAGCTAGAATGGGGTTTTGGGGGACTTCACCAAAGGGTACAAAGGAACTTTCTGAGGTGGTGACAAAACTCAAACAATATAGTTCATACCTAAAAAAATGAACTTTCTGTATGTAAATTCTACCTCAAAACCTAACATTTAAAAAAATGTAACTTATGATAGATATGTGTGGCAGACATTTTTGCCACCCTGAGTAACAGATATGCGTTTCCTAGACAAAGACTGCTTTATTCCTTGAGTAGCAAGGATCTTTCTAGAATTCTTCCATGGGTTTTCTAGTGTAAAATATAAAAGCCCCTCTTCTAGGATGGCAGGAGGTACCACACCAGTATTTTCAAAACCTCTCCTGTTTTATCTACAGAGAAAACTTGTGGCTTTTCACAATTCTGTTGGGGCTCTTCTGTTGGGGCATAGAAGACAATGTGGTGGGCCAGACAGACTAGGGCTAGTTTATGGCCCTAAATGTGACACAAATCACACATCTCAGTCAAAGAGTAACTGGCCCACAGCTTATGCTTACTTATCCTGAACTGGGACCACATATTTCTCACTGATGGGATAAAAAGATGATGCAATTACGCACCAATTTATGTTACAGATAATGTACCAGTTTGAAAAAAAAGTGAGTAGCCACCAGCTTGCCGAGCATTGTTAGTGATATTGCCACATGTTCTGCTGTTTTCTCTCAAGCTTTTGACCTGTGAGGGAAGCGTGAGAAGCATGGGACCAATGGACAGCAGCACAAGGCTGGGTGCAGTGCCAAGGGAAAGCTGCAGGCAATGGCCTGAGGCTGGGGTTCAGGCTGTAGGTCTCCAGGCATAGACAAGAAAAGCTATTCCTAAAAGTATGCAGTCCGAGGAGATGGCAGGCTCCGCTCTGACAGCTCAGGAGACACATGGCAGCCAGAGGGCAGCAAGAGGCTGGGGAGCTACCCTGGAAGGGCAAAATGGAGAAGGCACTAGACTCGGGCTACTCACAGTGCCGATGCCACAAGGTTTCTGAGATAATCTAGGGGTGTTTAATAATGAGCATGGAAAAACAGGCATTTGGGAGACATTACAGGAACATCTTCAGCATGTAAGTGACCAGAGACCAATGAAAATGAAGGAGATGAAACACTTACTCTTCCTGTCTCCTTGAGGATAAGGATAGCCTGCTTCTTGACACTAACAAGCCACTGGGAAAGCAGGGAGAGCTGGGAGATTTGAAAGGAGGGCAAAGCCACTGAAGCTGATTCTCTTGCTCCCCATGTGAGCTATATTCTTTGAAAAACTTTCTGCTTTCAAAACTTCCAACATGTTTTATTTCCCACAGGAGGTGAGGCCCACAGAAGTCACTCTGTGATACTGGTTCACGTTAGTTCTTTTGCCTGACACTGTTGTTGAAGGTCTTGCATGGAGACAGATATGTGGCATCTTAGGCTACAGATACTGGGCATCAGAGCCTACTTTAATATGAAGCGGTACACATACTAGTACATGTACTCGTTTTAGTGAAGGTACTTAATCCTGCCCACAGTCTCCATACTGCTGCCACCCAGGCCCCATTCCAGCACATGGGATTCATTGTTCCTTTACTGTCAGCTGAGGCCACTGCACAAGTGCACTGTGGGAAATCCTAAAACCTCTGCATTCTTGCCACAGACCCAGCCTGGCCACCCCAGGACTAAAAGGAGGACACGACCTTTATGAGCTCTTCTCATTACAACTGCAAATACTTCAGGAGTACTGATAATGCGTTTTTAAACCTTCAAAATAAGCATATATATTTATTTATCAGTTGATTCTGAAAACTTTGAAACAGGTACAAAGTCAAAACAAAAATAGAAATCGGTCTCAGTTCCCATGTTAATATTTTGGCAACAGCCTTCCAAGCTTACTGTTTTAATGAAGCATCAGGATAATGGAGTTTATAAGACTTTGTACCCATTTATCATGCTCTACAACAGCATGATTTTGAAAATAATGGTTTTAGTGATATCGAGTCCATTATATAAGCAGATGAGAATATCATACTCCTCTTCCCATAATTAAATAATTATAATTATTGCTGTCCTAAATAGTTGTTAAGGTAAAGTTTTACCAACATATTTTGTCATTTTGTTAAAAAAAATAAGGACCTAGGAGGGAAGTTACTGGGTTAAAAAGATAAATTTTTTTCCTTTCCTTTTCCCAACGTTAGGGCTGTGCAGTGCGTGGCAAGCATTCTGCCACTCAACCTTACCTTCAGCCCATTAGAACCATTTTTGGGTTCTTGATTTCTTTTGCCAAATTGCCTCCCAGAAGCGACTGTTGTCACCACACCGCCTCAGCAGCATCTGAGTGAGCCCACTTTACCACACTGTTGCTACTGCAGAGTCTTAGTATTTTAAAGCTCTTTGCTGGTATTTTTTAATTGGGCTCTCTTGCTGTATTTTCATAGACCCAGTGATGGGTACCGTAACCAATCAGTTCCCAGCGGCGGTCAGGGCTCTCACATCAGCTGGGACGAGGCTCATTCCTGTCCTGGAAATTCCGCCTGCTTCTCCCTTCTCAGCTAATAAAGCTTCTGGGCACAACTGATCTCCATACCCATTGGCGCTGTCGCTGTGCTTGCTGAGTGGAGACACCTCCTCTGGGGAGGGAAACCCAAGACCTACCTGTGATGAGTAGTTCTTATACCTGCTGGGCCTCACCTTGTTCCTGGCAAGTACATTGGCTCCTGCTTTAACAAGTAGCTTAGCTGACTGGCTGAAACCATGCCATGATGCTTCATGCAGGGCAGTGTTCCCATCCTAAGGATCAGACAGGGGAGAAGTTCATTATCATGACTGAGTTCCACTCCTAATAAGATGTCCAACTGGATTTTCCCTGACCACCACAGGACCTTCATCAGGACCTTTTTTGTGTTTTGAACCAGTGTCTGCATTCTCTCAGAAATGGTACATAAGAACCACTGTAGGTACACAATAGAGAAATGAATTCAGTGCCTGATAGGCTTAAGCATTAGGGCCTATATGTCCCTAGGAACTGTCTACTGAGAAAGACCCCAGAACCCATCCACAGCTCCCGTCTAATAGAAAGCAGCATATTCAGGAGGGCACGTTGTCCCCAACTCCTCCCCTCCTCCCCGCCCTAGGGTCTCCTCTGTTCCTGACACCACAGTGAAAGATGGGAGAAGAGTTCTACTTCGTAAGTTCCTGATAGAGAGGTCCCTTCCCACTCCTTACTGCTTTTACTTTTTTAACCAAAATTCCACCCAATTTATTCCTAAAGCCCTAAAAAAGAGTAGGCACCAAAGAAAAAGTGATTTATAAATTTGATGAATAAATATCTTAAATACATGGCTTTTAAATAAAAACTAATTAGAGTTTTACCTTTAAAAAAAGCTTCAATTTTGTAAAAAAATCATTTGATTCTGGAAATTTTAAAGAAGGTACAAAGTAAAAGCAAAAATAGAAATCAGTATCAATTCCCATAGATGGCCTTGGTAATATCCTTCCAGGCTTAATCTTTTTAATATATATACTTTTATATGAAGCAGTGGGATGTTGTATTTGCTCAACATGCTACTAAGAAAAGAGAAATATTAAATGCAATAAAAAGTGAGGCAGAGCCAGGCATGATGGGGTCACCAGGGGAACAGCATGGAGGGGAGATAGCGACCCCATGCTGTCCCTGGCCAGGGTGGAGGGCACTTGGCAAGGTCAATATAGGTGCGCTCTTTCTCAGATATACAGTGGCTCTGGCTGAGGCGTTCCCTCAGCTGCATGCATGCCCCTGGAAATATGCACAGAGACACAAGGCATAATCCAACTAATATCCACAAAAAGGAGTCTAGGGCTCAAGAGACCAGGGAGTGGGGCAGTGCTGAGAATGGTTTTGCTGACGTGTGGCCATTTGCAGACTCAAGGCAGAAGCAAAAGGGGAGGGAACAGTGGTATGAACCTGGATGGGGCAGGGACCCCCCTGAGCTGTGTCTTAATCTGATGCCCACACAGGTGTCCAGGAGGTGAAGCTCATAGAGCTGCACACTTGCTATCCATGTGCTATTCTGCATGTATGTTATACTTTAAGTAACAGCTGTTTGCAGGACAGGAAGCAGAGGTAAATTACACTTAAGCAAAGTACATGTTTTAAGATTGTTTAACAATTTAAAAACATTGGGTCAACACACATCATTAGGATTTCTTAAAGAATGTGGGCTTATTTTTTTCTTTCAATGGTTTAAAGAAATTAACTTGCTTTCTTATCTAAAAACAAACAGAATATCTGAAGGCACATCCTCCTGCCACCTCCTTCAGGTCCCCAAGGTGATAATTTCTAGAGTTTTATTTTTTTTCCTTTCATCATGTGGATTTATGTGGTTGTTTCTGGTGCCACACAACAGAGGGAGAGATTTTAAAATAAATACAACTGGGATACTAAACATTCTTCCAGAGGAAATTTGAGCTGATTTCATCTGCAAAATCATGATGGATAAGCAAGAATAATATCTTGGTTATTCAGAAGTAACCAAAGCAGACTCCTTAGGGAGCTGATCACAGCCCTCGCTGTGGGTAGTAAGCAGCTGACACCTCTGCTTCACCTTGTCTTGCCGGTCCAGGGCACATCCCTCCTGAATGAGAGCTGCAATGATCTCTGTGTTGCCCACCACCGTAGCCCGGTGCAAGGCAGTCTGGTCCCCCTGCAAAGCGACAGAGGCAGGGCATTGGTCAACTCTCCCAGCACCCCCCCCCCACACACACACACACTCAGTCCTCCACTCGGACACCAGGAAGTCTCCCATCCCCATAAAGAGCAGACTGGTCACTTGAAGAAGATCTTAGTCACCTCAGGCAAAGGTAGGTTTTGTGCACGTGTTAGTAGACAGTGCATGCTGGCAGAGCAGTGTAATTCATAGGGACCTGAAATCACTAGCAAAAATGAAGACCAGCCTCAGAATGGAGAACAGACTCTGTCCTGTGCCCCTAGAGATGCGACTGCCGCATGTGTAAAGAGTGGGTCTGGGAGCTGGGCTGCGTGTGTAGTGTAGTTAAACCAGTGATGCCTGAGGTTCCAGCTCACAGAGGAATTACTTCCCAGCCACTTCAGTTAGTAGCATTCATGTTTTGATGACAGGTGTATAATTTGTTCACTGATTTGCACTAGCCAAGAGCAATACAGGGGTTTGCCCTGCTTCATTTGAGGACTAGAGACTACTGTATCCTATCACTTCATCCTCACTGATTTATGCTGCATTTGGACCTCCTTTCTTTGTGTTCAGATTCCTGGGATTGCTGACCAGTTTTCTCCTTCAGGCGCCAAAGGGAACTTGACTCCTTCCTCTAATTGCAATGCAGAGAAGCAAGAAACACTTCCAGAGGTAAGAAGGTCAAGACTGTAACGAGAGAGTTCTGAGTCTCTTAAGAGCACATTTCATCTTTGACATGTACTCAGGAAGTCAAGTTGGGGCAAATCAAGTCAAACCCATAGCCCAGGTTCGAAAGGCGAGAGGGGACACCAGTGTGGGAAGTTCCTGCTGGAAAGGAATGAGCACACAAAAAGGGAATCAGGAGGGCTGGGCCTCAGGAGACAATCTGTCACCATGTGGGGCCTCACATCTTCACCAGCAGAAAGTGAGGGCTGAGGATGCCAAAGGTCCTTCTCTTCTGTTTTTGGATTCTATGATTTTGTTGGTAAGATTTATGTAAGTATATTTTTTTGACAGAGCACAGAGAAACAAAAGACACGCTCCAGTACACTCCTCATCCTTAGCCCGAGAGAGAATACAGTAGACAGGCAACAGATTTTGATTTTTTTTTTTTTGCGTGGGGTACTGGGGATCAAACTCATGATCTCACACTTGCCAGGCAGGTGCTTATGCCACTGAGCTAAATCCCGAGCCCCAGGTAACAGATTTTTTAAAAAGGGGAACCCACAACTCACTCCAAATAGCCTTAATAAAATACAGATTCAATTTACTAGTCTTCCTGGAGTTTATACCCAACAATGCACATCAAAAGCATTTAATCTGAAAAAAAGCTATCGAGAAGGATGGTGGTGGTGACTGCATAAAGATGTGAATGTATTTTTTGCCATTGAACAGTATGGTTTAAAACAGTCATGTGGTACACTTTATGTTACACATTTTATCACAAAATCAAAACCTATTCAAACTAGTTAAAACTCAAATTTGCTTTGTTAAAATTAAATTTTTCTCTTTAAAAATCTAAAAAGCAAAGTGATCTTTATTGTCTTTCTTGAACTTGAATATACTGTGATTTTTATATTTAACACATATAACTGAGCATCAGGGAAAACTACTAATTACAATAACTATGTATCAGGCTGTCCGTGTTTCACAATCTTTTTTCGAGGTTCCTTTGTAGAAATTCAGGAGACCTTCAGAGTGATGGGGTTCACACATCCACTCCCAAGACCTGACTGCATCACTGTCCTCTGCACTGCTGTCAGCAGCCCTTCCCTTGGTCTCCTAAGCTCTTATCTTCTCTCTCTTTTTTTTTTTTTTTTTTGTCTTTTTTGAGACAGGGTCTCGCTATGCAGTTCAGGCTGGCCTTGAGCTCACTTTGTAGCTTAGGCTGGTCTCGAACTTGCAACGATCCTCCTGCCTCAGCCTCCCGAGTGCTGGGATTACAGGAGTGAGCCACCACGCCCTGCTTCTCTCTCTCATTTTTTGTTATTATCCCATTACTATATTTTAGGTTGGACTAGTTTTCTTGTCTACTTCCCATACTCTTTATTGAAAGGGGACCCACTCTGTGTGCCATGCAGTCAATAGGAAAATGTGGCCAGCAGGTGAATGGTTGCAGGAGGTGTGCTGGGCCATTATGTTACCCATTTCAAACTTTTTCAGAAGTGTTTCCAAAAGAGGAATGCTGGATGCCCAAGTAAGTCATTGTGTGACTGTTCAAATCTTTAACTTTTAAAAAATTCCATAAGAATTTCCAAGACTTCCCATTTCCCTGTCTGAATGGTCTCAGATTTCCCCAAAATGGTCCTCAAGTATGATTTACTTTTAGTGACCTGTCAAGAAACATGGTGCTGTTCCAAGCAAGAACTGTGAGATTACAGCCAACTGTCAGTGCAGTTCTATCTTGGCCAGGTTTCAATTGTTGGAGATCTTTTAAAAATCCCACAAACAGCAGACACCCTACTTAGCAGTCCCTAGATTAATGAGAACAACTCTGAGAAGACAAAATGCACAATTCTGTCTGAGCTGCGCAGACCATGGGGACAGTGAGCCCTGAGCACGTGGGTGGCTGTACAGCGTCATGAAGGGGCTTCCCAGTTACGGTAAGACCTGTACCTTGGTTTACACATATGATGCATCATGTTTCATAGCTGCTCACTAAATAATGAACTGCGGCAGACTTTGAGCTGTCTTAGTACCATTATTTACTACACTCAGTCATCGCTGAACATATTTGCTTCCTGTAGGACAACTTTCCTTTCTGAAACTCTAGCTGATGCATGTAACTAACCCTAAGTTTCAGTGCAGTTCTTAATTTTCAGAGGGATTATCAAGACTTAAGGAGCTCTACTGCACACAAGCTGTCTCCAGGTGGCTGGCACAGGAGTCTACTGCATTTCCCTTTCTGTGTGTGGAGCTTTCAGCTGCACCCCTGTGTGTCCCACAACCTCAGCCTCTCCCACTTTACCTCTACTGGACAGCGACTTGCACAGAGCTGGCTCCTTGCTTCCTGAGTCAGATAATCACTGCTCTGTAGGTGACACACAGACCTTTTCTCCCATAATTTGCTGTCCTTGACTAATTAACTTTGGTCATACTAACTGGAATGATTCTAGAGGACTGAGGAATAAAATTCCTTTGGCTTTTAAAAACCAGACACTCTACAGCACCTGCCTACCAAGTGCGAAGTCCTAAATTCGATTCCTAATAGCAAAATAAATAAAATAAAAATCAAATACTCTTAACTTACCAAGATGGGAACTAAAGGCTCAGAGAGACAAAACACACAAACAGACCAGATATGTTGGCATACACCTTAAACTCCTCCTTAGAGAGGCCAGGGAAGGAGAATCACAAGTTCAAAGCAAGTCTGGACTACATAGTGAGGCCCTGCCTCAAACAATAAAGAATCACCTTAAGCTACCACCTTGGAATCACCCTTCCTAGAACACAACACAATTGAAAACTTTTAGACCCTCAGCTGACAAAGTCAGTTACCTGTGGAGTTCACACTTGGCTCTTATGTATTAAAACTTAATGCTAAAAAAAAACAATTTTTAAAAATCAAACAAACAAACTTAATGCTGAAATATTCCTCAAAATATGACAAAGAAGATGAGGTATACATGTTAATGGACCCAAACAATGCTTTTGTGATAATCCGTATTTCTATGTACTCTAAATCGATAGTGAAATCTTGAAACTTTGAAAAGAAAATGCTCAGGAAAATATTTCATATAGCATTTACTCAATGTTTAGTCACTATTTATTGATTTCTTACTACACTGTGGCATGGCATCTAATTCTTTCATTACACTGGTGAGCCTCACCTAGGATAACTAGCTCATCTGAGGTATCGTGGCCAGCCTGAATTCAAATTGTGAAGGATGTTTTCATTTACTCTGAGCTGCTCCCAACCTCCTAGGCCATTTAACCTTAAGATGGGTCTCAGAAGGTTGGGACTGCCTTATGAAGCAAGCTAGTGCTGTGTTAGAGCCCTGCCACTCTATGGATCCAAGACGTACTTATTGAATGAGTAGCTGCAAAGAAGCAAAGTAAAAAGCTGCTGCAGTCAGAAACTTGAAAAGCCAGCAACCTTGCAGTCTGCTGCTCTGATCTGGAATATGCTGACCTATTTGCAAAAGAACACGAACTGCCAGTTCTCAGCTTTCCTGACACACTGGCGTTTCTCACTTTAGTGCTTTACAACCTCTGAGGTCTATATCTTGTTTTGAAATACTTTTATTTTTCTCTCCTACATGGTGGAAAACAGTTGGGAGTTCCAAAGCCGAGCTCATGACAGGAGCCCAGGGAGGTGAGGGTGGAGTCCTCCTCGGCTCAAGGGCAGCGAGCTGCAAGGAGGCTGAAGACAAGGCAGGTGTGCAAAGCAGTTGCTGACCTCGGTTTCTCTCGCTGATCTTCTGGAGTTCTTCCTGGCCTTTCTTCTCTGGCTTTTCTTATTTTTCTCTTCCTTTTATGCCTTCTACTGTGGCCACAGGATCTTGGACTATTTCTGAGGGGCACGTGTGGTTGCTCATTGACCAATCAGAGATGGCATTGAGATTCCGGGGCAGGTTGCCAGGACCTGCCCCAGGTGGGAAGCAAGAGAGAGTTTGCACCTGGAGTTGCATATTCTAAATAACTGGTTTCCACAGGTTCAAATTCATAATAATCCCACTCCAGGCCACTGGAGGTCATTCTTCAACTAATTCTCAGTTCTTACCATGCCATAAAGGTCAGTATCTGAGAATAGGAAGTTAGGAGTAAACTCTTCACAACATTAGCATTCTCTATCCATCTCCAAGACAGCTAATTTCTGAAGTATTTTGTTCCCAGTAATTGACCTCTCAACCTCTTTGAAGTATATAAAGAGGTTTCTTCCTTGAGATTTCTTTCTTGCATACATTTCAAGGCTGATCATCAACAGTCATGATAAGGACACAGAAGTCAACCGTGGATCAGATTATCATTGTGCTTTGTTTTCCTTTAATTTAAGCAATGTAAATGTTTTCTGTCTAGGGCAAAGTAAAAATGTAAGAAAATTTCAATAAAGGAGCTGGCTTTTCTTATGTCAACACATCTCATCCTAGCAACTTTGTGACAATTCCTGCCTTTTTTACTTCTTGCCTTGCAGGACACAAGCAGCAGCAGTTTCAGCAATTGGCATGGCTTGGCTGCACAAGAACACAGTGTCTTCAGAGCACCAGACCTGGGCAGGATTGTTGGGTGGGGGATGGCTTAGTATGCTGGGCAGTGTGGCCTTGCCCTCATGGCAAATGAGGGCTCTACTCATGCAAAGAGAAGGTCAGATGAGTATGACATGTTTGTGCTAGCAGTTCAAACCTCCTCTTTTTCTTTGGTAAGCATCTCTTCCCTCACCCTGTATTTTCCTCCTGCCATCTAAGGAGATGATTTGAGTTAGGAATATTATGTTGGTTACAATGTAGAAAAATCAAACATTATGACTCAAAGTAAAAATCAAAAGCTTAACACTGATCAGCATCTTCTGAAAATGTCCTAGCTACCTAACAGGTTTCAGACATATCTAAAGATTTATGACACAGTCTAGATGGCCTTCTGCGTGGGCACAAAGTAGTGCAATATTGTCTTTGTAAACACTGTCATTTTTCACTTATAAATGTGTTTGCCAAGTTGTAAGACAGCACACAGAGACCCAAGGAAACTTTGAAGTTCTTTGGTTAACCACACCTTTGTACAGTTAAAGGTCTGAAATTTGAGTAACACTGTCTAGCCACTGTTATTACAGGTGAATCTGGAAGACATTAATGATAAGGGCAAACTCCAAGATTCTGTGCTACTCACACAATTTTGTATTTCTTAGAAGTTTACCAGACATTTTAAGAGTTCAAACAGTTTCTAAAAGTAGTTTCCAATCACATTATCACAGGACCTTTTCCTAGTAACTCTTTGGAGGACAACTTCTTGTTAGAAAATGCATCATCTCCAAAGGTTAAACAGGGCAATGCTATGTACCAACCCCAGTCACTACTCTTTGACTCGGAAATGGACAGCTGATCCCAGAGTTGACACTCTGAGTCCTCTCTAGATAATCTGAATGGACAGTCTCAGAGTTGAGCTGATGGTGGCCATATTTCAATGAAAGCACAGTACCAGAGTGAACTCTTTCTAGAGACCTTCACTGACTTGGATTCCATGAGATCTTCTCCCACCCCCGCCCTCCTTGAATAGATCCTTTTCAACTAGAATGAAGGCTTCTACTCACATCATCCTGCACATCCAGGTCACAGCCAGCCTTCAGCAAGACCTGGACCACAGCAAGATGGCCCTTGTTGGCAGCAAGGTGTAGGGGAGTCCGGCCATGCTGTTGACGCAAAACAAACACAGATTTCAGAACAAGACATCGAAACCACTCCTTTGGGGGCAGCATCATGGGGCTGCAGAAAGGTTTGCACAACAGTTTTAAGGAGAGCATTGCCCTTGGCACTTTGGTTTGACAGGACAGTCCTGGGCGTTTACCTAGAATTCATGTCTCAGTTAACTTCGGGTACTTACATTGTAATCAGTGAGTATAGTATATAATAGTATATAATTTCTATTCTCCATACATAAGCAGCAAAGTAAAAAGTAGCAGTGAGGGTTTCGTATCTTATTTTCCCCCAGCACTACAGTAAGGGAAGATGATTTCCACCATAAAACTAACAGAATAAGGGGTGAGAAAATAGAAAATTTCAGTCTACTCAGCCCCAGAAAAATCCAGTTAGTAACTCCTTAAAATTAAAAATCACAACTGATCAGGAAAGGTTTTCTTTCTATTTTTATGAAAATTTAAAATTTCATAACAAATTAAGGGAATAGTTAATGCATGGTATCAGCCATAAAAGTAGAATACAAGACAGACAACAACAAGAACAAAAAACCTTTATGAAAGAAGAAACAAACAGATCACAGCATAAAATGTTCTTTTCAATGAACTAAGAAAAACTAGTTGTACAAATGAAACAAATTGCCACATATATTAAAATACTTTGGAACAACAGAATAGGTAATTTGGGAATTATTTGAACTTCTCCCTACTTCCTATTTATCTTTTACTTTGCTCTTTATTCATATGTGTAATATTAATAATATAATATGTATATATTATATATGTATTAGCTTTCTCATATAGGCAAAACCATGTGCTATGTAAGCTTGTATGTCTGACATTTCACTTACGTTCTCATTTTGCATCCATTTGCCACAAATGCCTCAAGCTTTTCGTATGGCAGAGTAGTAGAACCCCGTTGTGTAACGATGGGCTCTGTCAACCATTCAAAAGTATATTCTGAACGCTACATACCCACCAGCCATCTTAAGAAAAGATCAGAGAATGACTGGCATTCCTTGGGAATGCCTTTCAGATCTCATCCCTTTCTCCAACTTGGTTTTCATCATTTCATTGGCCTTTATTATGTTTTCACTACCTGCAGGTGGCCACAGACAAGAACATGGTTGTGCTTGTTTCAAACGCCACATCAGTGGTATTAAACCGCGTGGCACCCCTCAGCACTTTCTCTTCATTACATTGCTGAGACTCTCCCCACACCGTCCCATGTAGCTCAGGGTCCCAGCCATTCTCCTGAGGGGCCCTAGTCCTTCCCTGCAGCTTGCTCCCCTGTGTGCTGTGTGCTCCCCTCCTTATCCACCTGAGGGGCTTCTCACCCTCTGGCTGCATCGCAGAGAAGCTGCTCCCTCAGCTGTCTGAGCACAGGCTCCTGGGGCACGACACCAAAGGCGACAGGCAGAGGAAACAACACTTCTCAGTCTAAATTAACTGACCTTCCCAAACTCCTACTTCTCCAAAGGAGACAATTTGCTCCTTTGGCTTCTCCATCAGGATTCACTGTGCAAAAAGGGTTCACGCATCATTTAGCCTCAGCGCCACCCACGCTGAGTGGCACTGAGGAATAAGGGTCTCCTGAAGACTTACTGCCTGCTTACCATTTCCATACAGACCCAAAGGTTAATAATCACATTCTCCCAGGATAAGCCTACTTATGATCTCAAGCACAAGCTGCGTAGGTAACGAGCCATGGAGACAGACAGAGGTAATAGACAATAAAGGATCTGAATTTCTACCCATGAGATGCAGTCAGAGTACTACAACAAGTGTGGAAAGAAAGAGGTCAGAGCTCACTTTAAAATTAGAATTTTTAATTAAGAACAGAGTCACTCCCAAAAAGTGGGCAATAAGATACCTTCATACAAAAGATGCTATCTGAGATGAGATAAAGGGTAACCTGCTTTTTGCTGGTGATTGTGCTCAGGCGTGTACCACTTCTCCTTGATTCTTTAAACCATGTGTTCATAGTTGATTAGACAGAGTGAAATGAGTGAGTTTCACTCCTTGGGACTAGTCTCAGGTGCCCTCTGTCAACACATGTCCTTGTCGAGTACCTCACACTTTGATACGGAATCAGTATCTTTCACAAATTTCCTAAGGCATTCTGAAACACAGAGAGTTCATCACTAATGTGAGGAGAAAGGTCTGGGTTGTGAGGGAGGTGACAATGTGGTCAGATAAAAATGCCTTCAAATCACCAGAAATACGGACCAAATTGGGGAGAGCCGCGTGGAGAGGGACTTGGGGCACAGGTAGAGGAGTCATTGGGTGTTGTGGCCAAGGGGAGCCCTGGGAAAATACTTGCCACCATGCAGGTATTTCTGCGGGACAGGTTGAATGCAGATAAAAGTTTTGTTCAAATGAACAAAAATAACAGGTAGGAAAGAAATGCTGGTGTGGTTCTTTTATGGACTGAGTATATTTGCACCTTATTACTATTGGCCCTCACATTTATGTCTAGTCCCCACTGTGATGGCCTTTGGAGACAGGGGCTTTGGGAGGTACCTAGGTCATAATTATGAGCTCCTCATGGTTGGATTAGTGCCTCTATAACAGAAGATATGAGAGCTTGCATCACTTGAGGACAGAGTAAGAAGGCAACTGCATACACACTAGAAATTGGGACTCTCACCCAAACTTGGGTGCTGGCCCTGATTAGGAACTTCCTGGCCTCTAGAACCATAAAAAAAAGTCTGATGCTTATGAACCCAGTCCACAGTACCTTGGTACAGAAGCTAGAACAGACTAGGACAGGTTCAAATCAAATCACAACTGGGAAGATGCTTTAGGAACTATAAATTACAAAAAGCCCTGGACCAGAGATCATCCCCCTTATGCACTGTCAACAAAGGGGCCTCCCTATGGAGAAATGTAAGGCAGAGGCACTGGAGCTGAATCTGATTCACATCCTAACCGAGCATTCGTGTGATTTTTGTGCATGGCAACTTCCTAAACCTGCTTCCTCATTTGTCAAACAGAACAATCTCCGCTGCCCACTCCACAGGCTAAGGGTATTCGGTGGCACCCAAGGTCTCACGTGCATTCCCCTTGCTGTCTCTTAACCCTGAGGACAGCCCAGTACTTAGCCCTTATCAATACTCCACATCACAGCCCTACACCACACCAGTAAGATACTTCCTATGGCAGACAGGTCTGGGTAAAAAGCTGGGTCTTGGATCACTGGGCCAGACAGATAGTGGCTGGAGGGTGGAGGTTCCACCCGCCAGTCCTGATGTGCACTTCGGCTTCCACTCTTAAAATACACCGAGGTCCCTATTTCTGTGTTTCTGCTTGGAAGGGCGGTGTTCTCCAAACTACACCTTCTGTTTCCCCGGTAAGACATGGTCTCAGCTTGCTTTCTCCACACTGACGGCACCTCAGCTCCTGTGAGCATCCTGTTGTGTCCCCCGGGCTATGGTCTCCCAAAGGGCAAGGACTAACCTTCGCCCAGTCACAGACTAGGTCAGTTCTGGGGTAGCATGTCAGAGAAGCTTGGGTTTCTCAAGCTCAGGAAAGGACCAAATCCAATGGTCTGAGATTTGATTTCAGGGAAATACATAAAAATCTCAGGGTGGGTACGAGCTTCAGTTTCTAGGCTGTCTTTGCCTCCCAGGAGGTGTAATATTGGGAGCTTCAGGAGAATTTCAACAGCTACAGCAGTGACACCATGGCTTCTCTGAGGAGGGTCTGTATTCCCTTGTGTGCTTGGCTTCTCTGATGACATCTAGGAAGGGTACAGGGGCAGCAAAAGCAGAAACTAGTTTCCTACAGAACTTGAAGCTGTCTGTGCTGTCCAAGCACAAGACAAGTTCCCTCAGTACATGTACTGTCAAGCAAAGGAGGAAAGCAAGGATGAAAAGATAGGCTTGGCTTTCCAGAACATACTGTAGCAAAAAGTGACAAAAGTAAGGCCCTTCTGTGGAATGGATATGCCGGCCCAGAGCACAGAGATATCTGTAGACTGTTCCTGATTTATGGGGAAGGCCAGATCCCTTTTAAGGGTGAGAGGACAACAAAACACCTTGGTCTTTAGAGGCATCTTTGAATGACTCAGATTTAGGATGTAGCCACTCTGTTTCCACGCCCCTGGGTCTAACTAGGGAAAGAAACGGTGACAGAAGTAAAAGACCCAGGACTATGAATGGTAAGAGGAAGATGCTTTTGAAGCTTTAATTTGCCTTGGGCTTTACCCTCAAGGATCAGTTCAGCCTGATCACCTCAGCCACCAGTAGCTCCAGGAGACTAACATTCATAAAGGTTAGAGCCACTGACAACAACAATTACCTTTACTGCATGGTACACACTGTCTTAAGAAGTATAGATGTGCTGCTCGGTGCAGTGGCTCACGCTGATAATCTCAGCCCTTGGGAGGCTGAGGAACAAGGATGGGAAGTGCAAGTCCCATCTGGCAACTTAGAAAGATGTCATCTCAAAAAATAAAAAGGTCTGGGGAAATGAACCAGAACTAAGGCCCTGGGCTCGATCTCCAGTACCAGGGAAAAATAAAAAAGCACTTTTCATGTGTTAGCTCAATTTTCCCAACCCCATGTGGCAGACAGTATTATGAAGCCTGTTTTACAGAGGGGGAAAGTGAGACATAGACACTGTCACTCGTTCTATGCCACAATAACTGACGTATGGACTCATCTTCTAGGCCATCTGTCCCAGTCACTGTGCTCTTACCCACCTACATGCTGCCTTTTGGTGCAATGGGGTGGGTCCCTGGCAGACATGGGACTCTAAATCATGCTCCCAAGTTCTTAAGTGTTGTGACCCAGCCTGAACACGACCTCTGCAGTTAACAGAAGTAAATTGGCTTTCTGGGATCCTCAGGGATGAGCAGAGATTATCTATTACCTCTGTATACCGCAATGTCCTGGTCTGTCTGTCCTGGTGCCTGCACCCTTCCTCCTGAGTGTTATCAACTCTTGGTGGTAGGGCCCAGGCATTGTTTTATACAACTCCTCAGATGACTCTAG